GACCAAATATACTATTTTTTATTTTATTTTAACGTTCATTTTATTTCTTATCCAGATAACTACTTTGTAAAAACTTACCACACTTTAATCAAAATATTTAAGTAAAATCTTCATTGTAGAGCTTAATTGTTTTTAAATATTTTACGTATTTCATTCATGTCATTCCTTAAGAATAGAGTAATACTATTATCAGATAAAATAAATTTTGATTCGTTGTAGGCAAAATAAACAAAAACATTAATTACCATTACTAATTGAATTGAAAGTTTTATTATACACATCCATACATATATTCGTAGTACATCGTCAGTAATTATATACTCGTTCTTACAAGACTTCGAAAATACGAGTTGGTTACAACAAATATTACAACTAAAAGTTTATTTGTAGTTATACATGTCCTCTTATATGATTATATCAAGATTAACATTATAAAGACAAAGACATATGTATTAATATAATATGTTTACATATAAATAACACCTAGGCCAGATGAGTGATGTAATGTTGAAATTTACGAATAAATTATAAACAATATTAATCTTCTATATATATAAAAATGGATTGCTGTTCCTTAGTCTCGCTAAAACTCGAGAACAGCTGAACGGATTTATCTTACTTTAGTCTTGAAATGTTCGTGGAGGTTCAGGGAAGGTATAAAAGCTGAAAAAAATTGATTAATTACTGGGAAAACCATAAAAACAGCCCTTTTCTATTTCCCATACAAACGTTTTTTTTGACATTAGATTTGACAACTAACTAATATGTCAATCATCCAGTCGCACTTCTAAACACGGAGATTTATGGCTTACAGGTAAACTCCAAAAATATAAATAAAAAAACGTAATAGATATTTCTTGATTATAGGGCGATACGAAGTTCGCCAGGTCTTCTAGTACATTAATAAAAACCCGTCTACAAATGACAAAACAGAACTGAAACTATTTCAAACTTTTCAATTAATGGTCGCTAATTCATTTCCTCATGTTACAAATGAGGCATCGGAAGGAAAACACAAACGGAATTTACTTACATACAATACGATTACAGTTTATTTAGTATTATTTTGCATTAGCTAAACAGTGCAATAATTAGTACTAACATTTTCATGATTAAACCTTTTTGGCTCAGGTGTCCACACCGACTGATAAGTGTTACTTACTATTCACACAGATTATATTTGTGTATGTAAAACCTCAGCCATTAGGTCACTGATAGAACACATAAATATATATAATCTACCGATGCGTATTCATGAAAATAAATAATGTTTCACTAACCACTTGCGCTATGTTTCACGTCTTCTAACATTGCTCCTCATAATGCTGATTTTAAACGTTGCAGTGGGCTTAAGATATTTAAAACTAAACTATAAAATCATTGGAATAAAGATTAGCTTAACTTATATTTATCGAAGTGTAATTTAACGTAAAAAAGACTAGATTTAACTTTAAAAGTCAGTCAGTTATCATGCAGATTATGCTTAAATTAGCAAATGAAATATTTAAAATTCTTAAAAATGTGTACAGCATAATTTCAAATATTGAATTGCCTTAACCGCTTGCGATATTATCCTAAAATATTAACCCCCCGTCCGGATGTCCCACCTTCTCCCTAAATACCCCAAAACTAATTTAGACAATCGTAGCGTGATCTATGAAGACCACCACGTCTAGGAAGATGGATATTAAAAGCTATCATCTTTTTCCATTTAAGGCAAACCGTATCTCGGTCTTCATCTTTAAAACAAGTGTAAAACGTAAGATGTTTCTTTCTTTTCTCCCGTCCGATGTACCACAAAAATTCTGCTCCAAAAAACGGTACATTTCAAGTTTTGCTCTTATTTTTGAAAGTCTTTACATTAACATTCATTGAAACATAAATTTTATTTTCATAAATACGCATATATTTACACACATTAACTAAATAAAAAAGGTTATATATATGTATTATAACAACACCGAGAATGAAGTACAATAAATTGTCGACCTTGGTCGCCTTGGAGAAAGAGAAGCTTTATTTATGCCTGCGTCTGCGGCGTCCCCACTTTACGTGGGCCTTCCCCTCTCAGAGTCTCGAAACACCGGTGGGTCAGGCATGCTCTGGCCAGGTGGGCTCGCAGGTATCAATTTCCATTCGGACGACTATCGAAGCGACTACATTGGAGCCGCTTGGCTGATTCTGTGTTTCTTCTTTTGGAGGATTTGAATTTTGTTTGCCTAAAATAGGTATAATAGAATATTATATAAATGGAATAGATTCGGTCTGTAAGGAAAAAATTAAGTTAAATAATGGGTAATTTCTATAAAAACAGTTTACCTTCATTTGCTGGGGCTGAAGCAGACGCCATGGCGCTCTCGTCCCAAGGGTCGATTGACCCCTTGGCACGTCTCGTTGCAGCAATAAATTAGTATCGTTCAATATGAATATCCAGAACTTCCTATCTAAAACAAAAATACTCATTTAACATCTAATATTGATCATTAGTTCCACATTCACTTTAATATGAAATGAAAACAACTTGATATAATCAAAGAAAAGTAAAACAAAGATTTAACGCTACATATAACGTTATAAATTATTTTATTAATATTAACTTCACATTTGCAGAATAATTGATTAAAAAAAAATAAAAATTAAAACTTACTACTGCCTTTGAGACGAACACGAGAGTACTAAACTACTGTTGGATGAAATTCGTTATGCGCAATTTATGGCACAGATTAAATGCGCATGTCCGCAATGTAAGACTTCCTACCGCATTTGTATTGATTTATACGTTCGGCTTAGTTATATGATGCATTTCTGAACTGCACATTTGATAAACGATATTACATAACGCCCATGACTTATAAGTTTCGCGCAACCGGTAATTATAAAGTAAAATAGACTATGGAGGTCTATATGTTATATATACTATAGTACTATATGGTTATTTTTTTTGTCACTCAAATTATAAAACTTACTAAATTATCTTATTAGCATTGGGATTAAAGTAAAGTAATAAAGTAAATAAATTAAATATAGGTATGTATATATATTCGCAAAGTTCGCAAATCTCAAACTTAATTTAAACAGAAAACACATTCCTACTCATTCCTTTTCTGATTGTTTCAGTGGACAAAATTTGTATTTATGTTGAATAACATTGTTTTTATCAGTAAGAGAGATCTACTTAAAAATAAGGCACTCCGACTGTTTATTTTTTTTTTTATTTTTTTTTATTTCATACAAACAAACATAAACACTTTTATTTTCAATTTAAAAAAAGGCTCGTATTAATTTTAATATGTATTCAAGCGACAATCACTAATCGTATTTTGCGATAAACAAATATTACTTTTTATAGTTTTCTTGCGAACATTAACTTTTACAACAAGGATCCAGTCTGAAAAACAAACCACACTATCTAAATTTTGTGACTCTAGTAATAAAACTCGACTCATGTTGAGAAATCCAGAAGTTATTTACTTGCCAAAACTGATGGCCAAGCATAGTCACAACAACTCCTTAAAGAAGTCTTATATTCAAAAATAATTGCTCGAGAAAACTGCAAAGAAAATACAAAAGTCTCTAAAAAAAAGTTCCACGCCCATATAAGGCAAAAGAAAAGCCATTGATAAAAATTCACGAATATGCAAGCGAATACATAAACACGGATCTTGGTTTCAGAAAGAGGTTGAAGTCTATACTTTTTACTCTACATTATCCCAGATGTTGATAAAAATTAAGCAAGAAATCTCATCATAATAGTCATAAACAGAAATCAGAGAGCCGCTAAACCGCTGCCTGAATACGGAAAAATTTAATCAATGTTCAAATGAAGATTAACAAATTTGTCGAACATAGCGCCATTTCTGCATTTAAAAAAAAACCATTCCATTGTAACCACTTGAAAGAAATGCTAAGCGATAAATCGACTCTTATCAAATATTATATTAATGAAATTTCCTTGTTACATTTTCTTCTTCTTCTTACTTTTATTGGATAGCATTTTAGGGAAAATCGTTGTTTTATTTATACTATGGTTTAAAGTTACCTTATTTATAACTGCTTAATATCCAATTCACTAATTACTGATGATACCATAAAATAAAATAAATATCTTTTTGTTTACTTATTTATTACAAATAATATGTGTACATGAATTATTGTTATTTTTTTAGTACCTACAAAATGTCTATATTTTTGAAAGCTTAATTTGACACATCGATTTTAATTTCTGATATATTCAAAAATATGTCTAACTATGATTGAGTGCAAAAAAAAACATGGATTCCTAATAAAGTTGCCTTTCTGGTATAATTACTGCTAATTAATACAATAATAGTACAAATACATTAGTTAGTTATATTGACATTAAATAGCTATTTAGACATAGAATCCTGTTGTAGTGCAATAGTATTTTAATCATATAAACTTTTGAATAAAAAAAAATGTTTCCAATAAGTGACTTGAAATATCATTAAAAATTTAATGGAAAGTGCCAAAAATCACGAATAGAATTAAACTCTTATTCTCTCCCTCTCTCTCTACCTAGCCTTTTCCCATTTCAATTGGGGTCGGCTAATTAAACTCTTATTGGTTGGGTATAATTAATAAAAAATTACAAACTTCAATTCTAAACATAAAATGTTATTTATACATAGTTTAATTAAAATACATGTGAAGAAAATAAATTTAGCAGGAAGAAATTAAAGACTAAATTTTTTTATTCTATTATTTAAAAAAAAGGACCTATCCTAACATTAATGAAGCTTCATTGTCACCAGATATTAAAATAATTCTAAAACTCACCAATTAAAACGTAATTCGGTGAAATATTAAACAATAATAACATAAAAATTAAAAATGATTTACATGTCATGTCTTTTTAATTCAGCGTGCTCTCAATTCGTGACTATTATTGTAATATATACTCATTCATCCATACAATTAAGTTATTAGAGTCATTGAAGATTAAATACGTCTATTAAAATATCGAGAAGAAAATCAGCATCTTAAAAAGTAGGCCTCAGTGAAGACAGGGAAATTATTTGCGCCTGTGCTTGCGCCGACCCCACATAATGTGGGCCTTCCCCTCTCATAGCCTGGTGATACCTTTGGGTCAAGGGCATTCCAGCAATGAAGATAAGACATCCTGAATTTGTACCTGATTGCTTATCAAGATATCGTGATTTTTTTCGCCTATACACTGAATGGCTCCTGAAATATAATACATTGAATCAAGAAGATGATGCAATAGAAAGTTTTAATACGGAATTTTTATATTCAAATAAAAAGTAAGAAAAAAAACTACCTTGAAAATCATCAGCACGTGAGGCGGCCATTACGCTGAACACGTTATGTCGAACTGTCAAAGTTTTCGACTTAATTGATCTCTACAAGATAAAAAAAAAACAAAATAAAATTAATCATAATTAGAGTGAAAAATAATTGTATGTTTCATTAATAAAATTTCACATATTCACTAAATACTAACTAGCGAGGTAAGGGAAAGAATGAACAATATGGTAAAGGTAGTCAAATTACTATTGTTAGCAATGTCTCATAGCATTATAGTAACTATTAATGGGAAATGGGGTTTTATTTTAATGATAATGATAATTTTATCATTAAACCAGAGTAGAACCTGCTGCTATGTCAAAAAAAAGATCTTTCAACAGGAAAGTAAGTAGATAACTAATGGCTAAGATTCGTTATATATATCTAAATTTAATACAATTCGCCATATCCTTATAAAAAAAAATAACTAAGTATATGTAGGTATTTATATAATGTTTGTTATATTATAGTATATATTTGTTATCACGAAAAAAAATGGATATTGTATGTATATGGATTGTGAATTATACGTAAATATATTTATACAACTGCGCAGTGTTAGCCCAAGCAATTCGCGTGTAACAGACAGCTAGATTCAGGAACTATTATTGATTTTTGATTTTTGACTGTTTTGCTGCAGCACATCACAGAGTTTAATTAATAATTACTCTTGAATATTTTGTTCTTAAAACACAAAGCAAACAAAAACAACTAAGATAATTAATACACATACATATATTGCATAGTCGCTATCCAATCTTTAGCGGAAAAAAATCTTTTTTATATTGTATAAAAACACAGCCAAGAACCTTTGTATATTTTTTTCTTACCAAATTTCCAATAGATAATCCACATCCACCAACCTTTCTGGATGCTAGTACCAATTTAACTATAACGTTTATAAGAAAATTTTATTGACTTTGAAAATTTTATATTGCGCGCGCATATACTTGAGAAAATACAACTTACTAACTTTACTTCAAAAAACATAAGGCTGGTTCACACGAATATGATTGAAGCGTAAATCACTCCAGTTAACTGAAATAAAAAAATAAAGTATAATTTTTTGAAAGCCTTCAGAAAATTCGAAATTATTTAAATTTAAATTTATTCCAATTTAATTATAATAATGACTATGACCGATCCAATCGTACGCTTGTTAAACATTCAATAAAAGGAATTAATAAGACTGCTTTAACTATAGATAAATAAAATATGAAAGAGACTGTGTTTGTGGAGTTGATTCCCAAAATATTTTTGCAAATGACAAATAAATAAAACAGTTATTATTGAGACATCGATTTTTATTGATTAATAGTAAGTACAGAATGGATTATGGTATACAATTTAATAGTGAATAAAAAGAAGGTGCATCTGAGCATTTTCATTTCTTTGTTATAATTATAACTTGCATTTAGTTTTTTGACAAACATTTGAAAAGTGGAGTTTTTTGCTCTGGTTAAACAAATTACCAAAACAGTCATGTTTAGATTAAAAACCCTTTATTAATGTCAGTACGCACAAAGTTTTTTTTTAAATCTTAACAAAGGTGAAGATGCACCTGCTTTCAATCATAGCAAATAGGAATAATCTCCAAGAAATAACTGCTACATTTACATAATGTTTCAATACCTATTTGATTAATATGCTTATACTAAACATTTAGATATTTTTAAAAAGGACAAAAAGAGAATTGTTATTCAATAACACTTCCTTTACACCAAGTTCTTCTTATTTTGTATGATATTCCTTCATATTGAGATAGAGAAAATTGTAATTATATATGAGTAACTTGTCTATATGGCTATAAATGGTTTTTTTTTCAGACCATAAAGACATGAATATTGTGCAATAATCTGTTAGGTACAGACAGACAAATGTAGGTTTTCAATATTTAATCAGGGTTATTAATATGGTTGAAAAACTTTTAATTGTAAAATTGAGTGTTTGTGTTGATAAAAGAAAACTTAAAAATTGTTGTCTCGTTGTCATACAAAAAATATAAACCTACAATTGGATTTTCATATATAGGTATGTATATTTTTCGTTTTATATATTTAAAATATTATAAAGATATAGATAGACTTAAAAATCAATCAGGTCAAAGCCAAATTGATTTTGAAAATAATTGACAACGATTTTACCTCAAAACCATTAAAAAAATGTTTAAATTTTCAAAATGATTTTGTATATAGTTTTTCGAAATAATCTGTTTCGAAAAAGGCAGGAAAATCTGATTACACAATTCCAGCCTGAAATCCATTCACATCATTGCACTCCTTTAGTTTTTTTTCATAGCCCAACACGACTTTAAAGACAAGAGTGTAACAATACAGACATCAAAAATGACAGTAATTCTCTTCGAAAAAAGTTGTTGAATGAGAAAAAACACCGATTTTTTTACTTTTGAGTAAATTACTTTGCGTTAGACGAAGATGGTTTTGTGCCAGATGGGCAAGTATTTATAAGAAATGTCGCTGTGGATACAGATTTCTGAGAAGGTTTGAAGCGAAGTTTTGGCTTTTGTGTTTTCACTTTGCATGTGCATTTGACAAATATTTGTACTTGGACCGCTTTATCTGCAGTCCCACATACTTCTTCTTCAAAGCATCCCCTGTTCCGACGTGAGGCTGGAAAAAAAAATATGATGACTTAAAAAAGAGCAATCGATTATTACAAATCTTACTTCACTTAGAATGAAACCGATAAAAGAATATCATTTTAATTAATAAAGTATCTTATGTGTTATACCCAAATTTTAGACAATTACTTCCTCATTATAAAGGCATAACTTATTATGGTACATACAATTTTTATTTTACATTTAAACAAATGAAAACATAAGATACATATATGTTCGCTTTTTGAAATTTAGAAAATTATGTTTTTATTACATATTGCAGTTATACCTATTTAATAGCTACAATTTTTTTATAAGACGTATAATAAAATAATGATCGTAAATTATGAGGTAATATTAAAAATTATCTACCTGACCCGCGTTTTGGAGCCTTTGATCCCTTCAAACGCTTCGAAGAAGCACCTTTATTTTGTGACTTCTTTTTGCCTCCCTTTACCAACATTTTGCCTTTACAGAAACGTTTGATCTTCTTTTTCAATTTTTCCTTTTTTTGAGTAACCCATCCAGCTCTCATAGGAGTCTGCTTCTTCGATTCAGAAGATTGCTCAAAATCGTCCATATTTCGATCAACTAGCGAAATCAAAAGGAAAAATAGGAGAAAGAGCAAAATGTCGCTTCACCCAATAGGTATTTATTTTTGAAATAATATTATAGAAATAAAGCTCAAAATTAATACCTTTTTCATTAATGAAAAAAATTCAAAAAAAAATTTTTTTGAATATCAGTAAAAACTTACGTAAAATTGATCGTCGCTGTTAAAATCGGCGGATCTATTCACCGGACTTACGGGGTGGTACTGGCAAGTTTTTTCCTATATATAATGTAAACAAACGATATGAGCGGAGGTTTTAATGATCTATTCAGTCATTGTGGGATCAAAGACCACATAAAATTTAGATAAAACTTACAGAGTTCCTCCAGCTCCGATGGCTACTTGTTAACCTGGGCGTGACGTCACAATCGAACGTTATGGCGCGGACATGCGCCTTAGACTTGTAAAATATAAAATTTCTTCTCACTCTTTTTAAAAATGCCGTATGTCCTGTCCACATTACATTTTAGGCAATAAATACTTCTCGAAGCTATTAGTTTTCAAATGTAATTCCATGTCACAATTATTGATAATATGGTCTGAAGTAAAAGCGCTGGTTATATTAGTAAAAGGACCGTTTATGATAACTATCATTAATATGAAATTCTACTTAAATGAGTTAATATTTAGCAAAATGCAATGGTATATGAGGAATCTAATGACGAATAGAATTTGCTGACTTCAATAATTTATTTTGATTATTGCGAATATATATAGAAGAGTTATTAAGATATTCTAGTCTATCAAACGAATGTCCCTAAACTATTCATTATTATTTAGTTTGGAAATATTTGAAAATATGAGCAAATTGCAAATTATTGTGTGTCTAAAACTGAATCCTTTGACTTTGTATCAATTTTCGGTGATAAATAGACCTTCAAATTTACAACTCACTTGAGATCATGAATCATTACTTTGGTTTACTTAAAAGAAGTTTGCGAATGCTATGCTCTACATCTTTCCAACTTAAAGATTGTATCAACCGATAGTCTTATTAAATAATTTAACTTTTAATTTTCTGTAATAACCATAAGACCGTTTTAAAAGCAAATTTATTACCATCGTTTATAAAACGCATGCAACTGAGGGACAAATAATTTTATTTGGTGTTTTGAAATAAAGGATGGAAGGACAAAATATATACAGGGTGACTGGTGAATTACTATCGATACTTGAGGACGTGATATTTGACGATCATATATGACAAAATAAAAATTAATATAACATAAATATTAATAAACTTCTAAGTAAAATTAACCAAAAGTTATGTAATTAATTACGCATCGTGTGAACACCCTACAGATTAGGTATACACACACACACACACTCGCGCGCGGCGGCGTGGTGTTGTATCAGCACGCCGCCGCACGCGTCCACACTTGGAGCACTTGGAACGTATCCACACTTTATTTATTTATACGGAAATTTGGTCAAAAATTAAGTACCTATTTTTTTTACATAATTCGAATGAGAATCATGTACCGAGTATTCTCCTTAAATATTGATAGTAATTCACCAGTCACCCTGTATATATTTTTCTTTAATTCAAATAAAAACAACTCATTTTTTATTTTATTTTTTTATTCATTACAAGTTTACATCGTTTAAAACGTCATCACAAAAAATAATATAAGCTTACAAACTAAATATATCAACCCAATATTTTTAAATTATATAAAGTGACCTCTAAATAGGAAAAAATATAGTTAAGTAATAAAATAGGGAGTATATAAATCTGATATGGATAAAATAATTAAGAGACCTCTAGGGCGGGTATAATTATTAAAACACCGACTATAACATCAAGTAAATACGTGTTTACGACTAATCACTTGCGTTGTGTCTAAAACCCATCATTTATAGCCATTTTTTTTAAATATAACCTATACGTCCTACGCATCATATCACGATAGATATAAATTTCTATCCTATACAAAATTTCAGTCCCAAACAATTTTCAGTCCTAATGCTTGTGTTGTTGATATCAAATTTGCATAGCACATATCCCGTAACCCGAGTATTCAAAGCGTACGAACGTCGTACCATACTGTCAACACAACACAAGCGAATTGAATAATATGCGATTATACACTCTAAGAGTTTCATATGGAATGTACCAAGCTTAAACTACAGAGTATATTTTTATATGAGATTATAGTTTAAAATGTCAATGTATTAGTATATTGATGTATTTAAAGTACTGTTATCCCTAAGTAAAAGAGTTGAAATTGTCATACAGTCAAACCAGTAGTCAACTCTAATACACGTGACCTATAAAGAATATTTTATATTCCATCATCTATAATAATTCGTCCTTTAAAGAGACCACGTAGAATACTTATTCGAATTTTAGAACTTTTTTAAACGATCCAACATTTCATTTGGAATAATTGTCACCTAAACTATTACTTACATACTAAAAGTGCGCAGTTACAAAAATGTATAGTAAGGGAAGATTTTCTGTATAAATTCCAACCTTAGCCTCTTTGGTGTGTAGCCAAAGTAGATATGTAAAGTTCAGTAGAAACTTAAAATAGAGAAAAAATTTCGTAGAAAAAATAACAAATTTATTAGAGCTAACATCTTAATCGAATACCCTTCAGTTCCTATATATACTTACGAGGAACAATCATCAATCATCAGTTGGTGACTCCAGTCTATACGAACCCAAGTGCAGTACATTGAGAATTGTTATAGGTATTTTTATAAATGCGCGCTTATACAACTACAACACGGAAGATTATATTTAAACATCGAGATTCAAAGATATATCTGAGACAGTGAGAGGGTCGGTTCATTTGTGTTTCCTTATCCGCCGTCCCCACATAACGTGGGACTTCCCCTCTCAGAGCCTCGTGACGCCGGTGGGTCATGGCATCCCGAGCCAGGACTCCAAGTAGCTGCGGACTTCCATCCTCGCCGACACAAGCCCAGGATTATCGTTCTTGCTAGCAGGGTACATGTTCGCGCAGTGGGCTGTACCTGGTGAAATTAATATCAAAATTTAGTAACAGTCACTCCAAGTAGGATATATATATATATATACTAGAAGACCCGGCGAACTTCGTATCGCCCTATAATCAAGAAATATTTGTTAGGTTTTTTTTTATATTTTGGAGTTTACCTATTAAAGCCATAAATCTTCGTGTTTTGAAGTTGTCAAATCAAATGTCAAGAAAAAAAAAATTGTGACAAAATTGTGAATCTAAACCACTCCCAGATCCCCTTGAACACACAAAAAATTTCATCAAAATCGATCCAGTCGTATAAATATTTATATTCTTGCCTCTGATGTATATAGCTGGAGCGTCGTTTTCCTCAGTGGTGGTCATTCCGAGGGCGTGCCACGGGTCTATAGAGCCATGCACGTACACAACTCTCTTAGCCGGTATATTCAACCCACCGTAGTCACTGTTCGTCCATTTGGCCGCATCGTTTATAAAAGCATCGTTAAATCTGTAACAATACAAAAACACACGTTTATTTCTTGTTTTACATAATATATAAATCTATAATCGCAAACGGTTATTGTTTAGTTATTTTAATGCATCGCGCATGCGTCATTTGTAGGTCGATATGGAATATTACGCCGCCATTTTGAATTGATACATAATTTCTATCTATTTTATTATATGTGCTGTACGATTTCATATATTGCATATAATTTTTAACATAAAAACATTTCAAATCGCTCTGCGCTGTATGTATTCCTTTGCAAATGGAAAAAATTGTTTGTACATTACTTCGCTTTTTATGATATTGGAATCTTTATGTTTTATCGACGAAGCGAGAATGTACGTGCATTGGTTGTAGATTCTTCAAATATCTTCTTGCAATATTAACTTATTATTGAATACATAAAAACTACTGTTTAAAAAAATTCGTTACAAGCTTGTTAGTTTTGCGCGTGCGCGTCCGATTAGTTGGGTACGCCTTAAAAGTATTGATTTTCATTGTACGCTTTAAAAAATGTAATATAACTTACATATGTACATATTTTACGACACACAAAATTAAAGGAATTAAATATAGGAACAACAAACATAGCAACAAATTATTTATAAATAAAACAAGAAAAAGCACAGCAAAACTTACATGTTATTTGAAGAAACGTAGCTTACACCGACGAATAAAGTAAAGATAAACATGTAATACATAATATTAAATGATTAATGACATATATAAGTAAAGACTACATTTTTGACGATTAAAACACATAGTTATTATAGCGATTGGGTCGGTTGAAATGCAAGGCGATCCAATTCAAGAAAGAAAGTACGCGATAACTTTCGTATAGCGGCGGATTTAAAACTTTACACTCAAGACTAGTGGTCATCGCAACTAGATCGGGAGGTGGTACGCCGGCCATCGTGTACGTAATACTCCTAATACAACGAACAAGCCACTGCATTGCAGCCACCGCGCATGTCATCAAATATTGATTTCATTTATATAAAACCTCCCCACGCCACACGTGAGCACATAATAATATATATAATAAACATATGTATACGCAATTAAAACATGGATATGCTCCTGACATATAAATAATTATTATGACAAAAAGTAATATATAATTGCATCGCTTTTAAAGGCATCGCAATTATTATAAGGTCGCAAATTACAGATAGGTACATTATTTAAAAAAAAACATATAAGAAAAGATAAAAATGCAAAAATACTCACTGCCGCTTCATATTGATGTATTCACGAATGGAATATATTACGATAAAAATGTAATTTTTAAACACTGTACTTCAGTAGATTAATCGAAAAGAAAATGTTTGTTAATCGGTAATACAGTTTATATTTGAATTAACAATTTATAAGTGAAACAAATCCACTATAGGATACGGTTAAGAGACGTTTCTGTTCGGGTGGATAAGACATTATGTGGTTATATCGGATCAATACGTGGACTAGAAGCGGAATATACATGTACTGCGCATGCCAGAGACTTTTATATCTTGTAACTTTTTTATTTCAGGCGTTATGTAAAGACGTAATACAACAAATCTTCCTAATCCTCATATATTATGCAAGTAAATTTCTTGTACCAAAATCCTAAATACAAACTTGTAGTTCAATGAAACAAAACCGTTCTTAATTATAATAACTACTGACCGTTATAAAAAAAAATTTTTCACGAATGGTATTTGTCTTTGGATAGAAAACTATTTCTAAAACAGCAATATAACTTAGGAATTAGTACAGGCGGTTAATAAACGTGAAAGCAATGCCGATGAAATATAATACTCTTTTCAGAATCTTTTTTCATACCTACTGATATTATAAATGCGAAAGTAACTCTGTCTGTCTGTTACGCTTTCACGCCTAAACCACTAAATTGATTTTAATGAAATTTGGTACAGATATAGAGTTGACCTTGAGAAAGAACATACGATAGTTTTTATCCCAGACTTTTGAAAGGTTCTCTCGGAAACTCGATATAACCGAACTCCTCGCGGGCGAAGCTAGTACTTTATAAATAATTTCAATTATTCAAGACAAACAAAATTATTATTGCGAGCTTTCTAATAGTAATGTATATGGTACGTTTTTACCAAATATTTGGTTTTGGACTTCACTTTTCTTTTTTATTCATATTTAAACAAGGAGGACAAGTTTTGCGAGGCGAACTTCTCTTTAATAAGTTTGTGATTATTTTATTCTGAAAACTTGATGCTTTGACTCCTCTAAGTGATTTAGCTTTTCAAATTTTTAAGTTTCTCAGTCACTATATTTTTATAGCTATTGAAAAATACCAGAAGTGAAGTTATCTATTAGACACATTATAACATGTTTTCAAGAAAGAAATAAAAATAAGTAAGCATTCGAAGAGAATTATTATGACGAAAGGTATTAAAAACTTGTTCAAAGGTAATATTTTTCACAATCACAAGACATTTCCGTATACTATTTTACTGTTTAATCAGCTATTGAATTAAAAACAAACGCAATCTCGCTTTGTATAAAAAATATTTTTTTTATGGAAAATCTTAAAAGTATAACTAGAAGACCCGGCGAAGTTCGTATCAACCTATAATCAAGAAATATCTGTTACGTTTTTTTATTTATATTTTTGGAGTTTAAATATTAAAGCCATAAATCTCATTGTTTTGAAATGCGACAGATTGATTGACATATTAGTTAGTTGTCAAATCTAATGTCAAAAAAACGTTTGTATCAACAGCTACTAATAAATTAAAAATAAATGTAAAAAACATTGTCCAGCGGACAAAATTGTGAATCTAAACCATTCCCATATCCCCTTGAACACAAACAAAAAAATTCGTCAAAATCGGTCCAGTCATTTAAGAGAAGTTCAGTGACATACACACTCACAGAAGAATTATATATATAAAGATAAAGTATTATAAATTACTTACTTGTTACCAAAGACGTCCCTGCACTGCTGTATGAAGAACTCTATTGAGAAGTCTCCGAATACTTCTATCTCGCTGGATGAGGTCTGATAAAAACCAAACTCTGTGCAGGTCTGGTACATCCATTGACGGCCTGTGAATATTTCATAGGTACATAATCACATAGAACACAGTATCCCTAACAGATGTTTAGAAACTTGATTTCAATACAATTTCCTATACATAAACTATATATGATATTCAGTCAATTCTTAAAATAATTTACAATTACTTCATTATAATTAAAATATATTTTTTATGTTTGTAACTGAATATTTCTTTAAATATATCACCAATTAATTAGCTTGAAGATAAATAGGATTATTAATTGTTTTTTAAGACAACATTTCAAAGCATACCTCCTTCGGATCCCCAACTAGTATTTCTCAGTTCCTTTATCATGTTGTCATAACTGTAGTCCAAGCAGGATTGATTGGATTTATTCAGTACTATTGAATTGTAGGCCGCTAGCCTCTTGAATGCTGGCTTACCACCTGGCTCAGTTAACATATCACACACCTGTTATAAAAAAATATGTGTAGAGTACCATAGATATTAAATTAATAATAAAATATATTTATAAAGATAACTCATATATTCACTGAACATAAAAAAGTACTAATTCACAGGATCTACAAATAAAATTTGGGAACTGCAATTCATAAAACGAAGTATTTAACAGACTAATGTATTAACAACATTATGATTAAATTTATAAATGTTTACATTTTGTGAAAACTTACCGTGTTGATTGTAAGATTCTTATACTTCTTGTCACCGCTGATACGATTGTCTTCATTATATTGAACTAAATCCGCAAAATCATCGGCTATGGAGTTGTAAAAGTTCTTCATGTCATTCTGAGATGCTTTGGAAAAAGGTTTGCAAACTCTGCAAGCAATGTGAGCTTTAAGTGATTTATTATAAATAAACTTCATGGCTAAGAAGTAAACCAGTAGCTTTTAATTTACCTAAACTCTCGTTCAATAGTAGCAGGGTCAGTTTTGATAATTTCTTGTATCTGTTTGTGAGCCAACTTCACTTGCCCGACACAATCTTCGCTGCCAGTCTTCTCACGGAGAGCATTCACTACCACTTGGAAGTATTCTGTAACAAAATATTGAAATAAAGCAGGCTTATTCATAGATTCAGAATGTTTGTGTTATCTTTGCTTGTTTAATATACTTACCCATAAAATTTACTTTGGCCACAAGCGGTCCGCTAGAAGAAACAGCGGCATGAACCAAATGTGGGTATTTAAGTCTCATCCAAGCTGCCAAAGAACCAGGATAGGAACCTCCAAACACAACCCATTTAACTTCTTTATTGAACTTGTATTTATTATTCATAGCATTTATGAAGTAAGCCAAATCTGCCAGCGCTTGATATGATGATAAGTATTGAAGGTTTTTAACACTGAGATCCCTGTATAAAAGTTTGCACATTAACAAATTTTTTCTAAATTATTTACAGCACATACAAATTATAGTAAAAAAAAGTGATAAATTTTTAAATTTATGGACCACTGTAAATACAGACCGTATTATATATTTTCTCCAAATAAAGAATATTATTCTTAAAATTTATACACTCATAAAATATCTTAAAGTAATAAAATAAATAGTCATTCTAGTTAAATTTTTAAATAAAAGGTAATTATGTTTACATAGCTGATAAGGAAAAATGTTATTGTAGTTCATAATATTCATATACATAATAATGTATGTTGTGTTTATATGCATGTATATTAAGATGTTTTTATATACTAGCTTCTCTCGCAGTACCCTTTTTTATAAATACTATATCCAAAGATCATGGTGTGATTTTATAATGCCTATACTTATTTCTTTTACTAAGCTACAATCTCCTCTAAAATACAGTAGTCATTAATTTCAATTAGCAATTTTAATCTTTGAGTATTACAAAAATTAAATATGAAAAAGCAGACAAATAAAAATTAAAAAGTTTATTAGTTAGTTTTAAAATTGAGAGATGTTGTGAAATAAACTAACATATCAATTTTATTTTTATGTATAGATAATGGTGTCAATGACTTTAGATCCAATTACACATTTTAGTGTCTATTCAAATAACATTTAAACAAATGTATAAATGAATAGAAATGGGAACAGTATTGTTTTCATTTTCAACAATGATAATACCATATTACTTCTATAGTGGAAAGAGATATATACATATACATACATATTCTTTAAATACAATACTGGCATTTCCTTTATTATCAATTTATAACTTTTATTCAGACTTCCACACATATTTTTTAGAGATAAGAAAAGTATAAGAAAATTAAATGTTAAAAATCTTATATATTTTTTAAAAAGTAATAAATCAATGAATAATATAATAACATACATAGTTGGCCGACTTTGTCCATAGTAACGATGTTCCAGTTGAATGCAGAGTGCTTTAAAATGAATCGCATAATCAATCCATGTTCCTTTAACCATCCATCGTGGATCAGCAGTACCTTCGCCACCAATCATCAGAAAAACAGGTCCAGGATTGTTAAAATCATAAAAACTTTCATTTACGAAATATCTCTGAAAATTTAACCAAAAATCAAAGGACATATAAAATATCTGCTATAGAAATCTAAAATATTATGATTTAACAGTATCATCAATAATTAATAATTATTAAGTCATTTTGTTACTCCCTAAATATTGCAATATTATATATTAAGTCAAAAAATAGACATATATATTAGCATTATGCATGTGTCACCATTAACTGTATGCCTGCTACTCATTTAATCATATCTACCCAACATTTACTATGTGTACTACATTTTATAAGAATTCTCATAATCTGTTGCAAAGGCTCAATTTTATTTTATAGAGTATAAATTTATATTTCTCTGTTAAACAGTATGTGCTGTATAAAATGTAATCAATTGATAACAGTCCTTATTGGGTAAAGTTTTATTTTATACAGTAATACTTATGTTACTATAAATAATATTAACTATAAGATAGTAATGTGTATACATTAATAAATATATATTAACTCATTTATGTAGATAAATGTCCCTATAATTATTTTATACAAAAGCTTTTGTATTCACGTTTAAACAAAAATAATTAATAAAAGTCTGATTTAAAAAAATATAATTTGAATAGCCATCGGTGGAATCAGGAAATATATGTATTTTTTTATATTTACATAACAGAAAACTTTAATTATCATTTACCTGTTCCCAATATCTCTGGTCTGTTGGACTGGAGTGATCCAATTTTTGCAAGAAATATTTGGCGGGAGGTAAATTTTCTTTTTCAGCTCCCATCGGTGCACCTAAATTCCCATTTCTACTCCGTCCCAGTCTAAAGTTAACACCACATTGAACGAAACTTATAAGTGAAAATAATAATAATAAAGAACTTATTATTGGATGCATATTGATCTTATAATTTCAGTAATATTTAAATAAACAACAATAACAACGGTAAGAAATAATGAGATACAGAAAAGAATAGCAGTAATAAACCAAAATAAAACTCGAATTAAGAAAAATATTTTTCTCATAATCAAATTGATTATTTAATTTGTTTAACAACAAATTTGATGTGGTGATAGCTAAGCTACACCACAACTGAAGCTGAAAAGTGAAAATCAATAGTTATAAACATAGAATATACAAAAAGTTATGTAGAATATAAATATGTCACCTGCCAGAAATATATTTAATTATCTGTTGCATCAATTTCAACAGACTGCCCTATTATATCCGTACATAAGTAAATTAAAAGTAAAAAAATCTCCTTAAAACACAAATATACAGAGAAGACATATAAATAAACATTGAACAAGTTACTCAGTAATAATTATAAATATGACCCTGTATTAAAGAGTGTAAGAGTTAAATATATTTTATAATAATCATTCAATCACAATGATATGAAATTTATATTTATTTGTACGAAGTTTTATAATATAAAGATATATAATTATATAGACACCTTATTTTTCTGAACACAGGAAGTTACAATTTGGCGCGATATATTTGTCAAATTTATCCAATCCGCACCGAGAACAAACATTTACAACTGTATTCAAGGCAGCCAACTTGAAAGTTAAATCTTTCCACTCGCAAATACGATCAATAGCGAAGTGTACTTTGGTTGTGTTGCTTAGCGCTCGGTGGATTTAAATAATGGCTCTATTCAGGATCACATCCACAAAACTTATTGATATACAGGTAATATTGAAATAACATTTTTGCATTTATATTGATTATTAATTAATTATTTCTATTTTTCTTACATACGAATAATATGCATAACCTACTTTGTCACATTTTGAATTTGAAGTTATGTAATGTGAATAAAACTATTTTGGGAATAAGTGTTCTAATTACTTAATGTAACTAACGTATCCATTATTCTAATATTCTTTAAGACATTGCTAGCTTTTATACTTTTTTGCGCATATAATCTGCATCGCTTCGGACTAGTTACTTTTTACGTGTAATCTGAACCCTTTTCACTTCATTTTAATGAACTTATTTTAAAGGCAAAATAATCGTGGTATTGTTTTTGATTATAAATGAATTTATTCAGGTGAGTTAATTTTATTATACAGTGTTTTATACTTATCATTATGTTACATAAAACTGCAGAAAAATTTAAAATTATTGGAGACCATTGTCAATGTTAAATTAAAATATACCTTCTTAAAAGAGATATTATGTCTGATAAAGTTGTGCATTAAAAAACATAATTGATTGAAATAGTCATTAATGTCTAAGAATTACTGTTAATTATGAGACTATTAAAGTTTTTTATGTATACTAAAAACTAAAAGTATCATTTGTTCTGTGTCTTCCTTTGCTGTAACATAAGTGAATTAAAATTTACTCTTTAATTATGGCTAAAATAATTATCATAATATTTGTTAATTTCTTAACACTTATGTCCACTTTTATAGCTTTCTTGGCTCATAAATAATCAATGTTTTGAGAGTAAAATCAATAATTTCTCTAACTGATCAGTGTTTCTGACAGTTTTTTAAACATATTAACCGTAATGCATGAATATACTAATGTATATAAAACCATGTGCTTAATATGACATTGGCTGTGACCGCCTTGCCCCTTTATAATCACTTGGGTCAAGCGCTTACTCGAGTTTAATAAAACCCAAATAATACTTACCCAGACTGTCTCCTAGCAAAAAAATATTCAAAATCTATAAATAAATATTTAATTATTTACAAAAATATCTATAAGAAGTAAAATATATTTGAACTGCCAATTTTTTCTATAAGAGATTTATTACAATTATGCTTTTTAAGAAACTATATTACGGTCATTATCATTAATACCAATAGATATTTTTAGACATGTTTTTAAATCTGTGTTTTAAGTTCAATGCTGTAAAATTAAGTACAATTGTACCCTTTTAATATTTTTAGTTAATATGGTTTATACAAAATAACAGCCAAGGCGGACGCGTTTTATCACGGCCGCTAATAACTATGGCTTCTTAAGGCCGTATGAATGTCTTGAAAATCTTTTAAGTCGCTGAGTTCTTCAAAGCTCGGCATTAATCCGTAACGAAGCCGCGATGCGGTCAAAAAGATATCGAACATTTCTTTTCAAAAACTGTGTCACGGAGAAAAAGTTGATTTTATTTTAAATTTTACCTAAATCAGTACTCAGATTAATTGTCATTGAAATCACCTACGATTTGTTATCGGTCTTATATCTTATCTATTAGAACATTCTGGAAATACTTGGTCATGTAATAGTTGATTCTGAATAGGTAAAATAAAACTCAAGAAATTAATTCATGTGGAATGAACATGATTTTTTATATATTTTACGATCTTTTGTTGGCTATCACTTGTTTAGTTTCGTGTTTTTTTAACCCTTAAGGTCACTTAAGTTTTATTGGCGATTTGAATTGAATGTAGAATACTTTACAGTTATGTATTCATTGTATAGAAACGTTGAATGCTGGATGTATATTGTATTAATTTTAGTGCGGCGTGCACCGATAACAGAAAAACAAATGTTTCACACCATCAGACATCACGGAGTTACGCAATTCGCTGAAGGTTATTCTAGTTTCAATGTCGTACACAGCATTTTGGCGCGGAACTTGTGCGTTGGTGACGTCACTTATCTACCAGGTTTTCGAACATACGTCTGTTTGAATTTTAATTACACATTTATATAACCGTAAATGGAAACTTTTAAACGCGAATTTATATGACTATATAACATTTAAAGGAAATATATTAAGACACAAAATGTACAGATAATATATTTTAGTTAAATCGTTCTTATTTACCACTTTCCATTTTACTATTAAATATCTATTTGACCCTTAAAATGGCTGCCAATAATTTATTTAAGCGCGTATAATGTATATTATCGATTTTTTTATTATTAACTTTGGATTCTTTAACTAACTAACTTTTAAACGTGAAGTTTTCTGTATACACATTATAAGGAAAGCCCGCATTGCAATAAATATATCCTTGAGTAAGGAGTATGTTTCGTTGGGATATTTACCTCAATTTTATGAATTCAGTTAAGGTCTTGTTTATCTTAACCATTTGTTGCATTTACATTGAAATTACAAAAAAATGTTTAATTTGGCCTCATTTGATAAATCAAACTATTTTTTATCATCAATTTGTAACATGCTTGAGTTCTTACTAATACTGCCGGAAATTAGAATTTATGTGAAAAGTAATTGACAGATTAAATTTTTTTATATAATGAGATTTATACAAGGAAACTTATGTAGGTATATTTAAGTATAATAAACATAGTCCGAGCCCATTATTATCAGCTTTTAAACTATTAGTTGTCGATTTCAATTATAAACATAGTATCAAGGAAGATCTAAATATTTAAATAACCTTCGTATAAAATCTGACCTCACTAAGCACGGAACTTAAGATTTAACTTATTTTTTAACTACCTCCACTTTTTTATTATAAATTACATATACCTAATATACATATATTTAACAGCAAGCTAATAGTGTGATGGTTTTTTAACTTAATATTATACGCATAATGATTACTTAGAGAATAATAGTCAATAAACTACACCCGATGTTTGCCCTATTGTGATTTCTGACCCGAGATCACTATTGATTAACTGGCTATGGGTTTGATTGAACAAATTGTGACAATTCCATTTGTGTGATGGTAATTAAAATGTCAATGGAGTCAACATCTATAATTGGATTGGGATGTATCTGTTACTGTCACACCGTCTATTTAGATAATTGTGATCAAGTTTCACTCAAATTTATTAATAATTATTTATTTTCATAATACTTTTGTTTTGTTTAACGTGTGTATTAAAGATGACTTCAATGAAATACTCTTGTGTTTTGTTGTCTATATGAACTTCAGTATAATAATATATGAATAATAAAACTTACAATCGCTTGTACGTATAATATGTTTCTCGTATGCAAGGGAGAAACCCCAGAACATTGCATTTACCGTGCACATACTTTTTCCTGTTGTGCATTTTTTTTCCTTTTTATCGAATTACGCTCGCCCTCAAGTCTCCGTCTTCAAATCAATTGATCAATCAGACAGTATTATTGTGTTCTGTTATGTTTATTGTTTGACAATTGTGTGAGTTAAGTTATTTGCACGTATATTATATATTTGTTATAGAAAACATGCCCGACAGCGACGATACTGCTGCGAAACTTAAGTGCGGAACAGACGAATCTTAAAAGTATCCTACAGGAGAAGATCCCCAAAGAACAAGAGAAGATCAAGGAATTCCGTAAGAAACATGGATCCACCAAAGTCGGCGAAGTCACCGTCGATATGGTAAGAATTGAATTTTTGTTATGAATATACTGAGACATTAAAATATAATAGAGAACAAAGCAAGTGGATTTAAAATTTAAATAACAATGGTAACATATTCCGACAGTGATTGTAATTCGTAAGTTAAAATTCTAATTATTCTTACAAATAATTGACACCGTTAAAAACTAAGACAATAGTAAACCATTTGATCTTTATAATCTGTTAATTTTATATCTACGTTACTTGATTCGATGTTAAGATAATATTGCTAAATTTTTGAATGTATGAAACTAGATGTACGGTGGCATGAGAGGCATCAAGGGTCTCGTTTGGGAGACGTCTGTATTGGATCCTGATGAGGGCATCCGTTTCCGTGGCCTCTCAATCCCCGAGTGCCAGCAGCAGCTGCCAAAGGCCAAGGGCGGTGAGGAACCATTACCAGAAGGTCTCTTCTGGCTCTTAGTGACCGGTGAAATACCCACCGAGGCTCAAGTTAAGGCTATTTCCAAGGAGTGGGCTCAAAGGTATTATTTGCTTCCTATATTGATGATTTTAAACCAGGGTTTTCGGTGTGTCATTAATTAACATTTAATCGTTCGTTAACAGAGCTGAACTTCCCGCCCACGTGGTGACCATGTTGAACAACATGCCAAGCAAGTTGCATCCGATGTCACAGTTCTCTGCTGCTGTAACAGCCCTCAATAGCGAGTCAAAGTTCGCGCAGGCTTACTCCGAGGGTGTTCACAAGTCCAAATATTGGGAGGTTAGTTTAGCTGGAGTTTTTAAAACATCACCCTGTATATGAAATTTATGATCATGATGAAACACTAATAGGTTTTGTTCTACTTCTGTCTTGAAATAGGTTAGAATGAATTAAGTCAAAGATGAAGAGCATAATTTTAAAGAATAGTGAAATTAGATCAATCGGTTCCATTCGTAAATTATCTTCTCGGAAAGATATACTTTATTTCTATATACGACGAATCAAAGTATTAAACTATTTTTTAAATATATTTGTTTGACAAAACTAAAAACATTTAAATTTTGGAATACATTCCAAAGGATAAAAAGATAACATTAATTGGTATTATTATCATCATTAAGTTGTTTTTTTAAAAGAAATACAAGTTGAATTTTCTTTATCAATTATTTATTAATTACCATTTGGGTTAACATTAAGTTTTATATAGGTAGATATTTTATGACAATTTATATGCTATATTATATGATGGCTACAAATGTGGTGAAAATGTTATAACGAGTAATTATTTTATTTATTACCTAAAGGAGCATAATAAGAGATTTCTCTTGAAGAAAATATATGAACATATATTTAGTTCAGTTGGTTAATACGTTATTTGGGACTAGATAAAGTTATTCCTTTGGCATCAATCATATTCAATGTATGTTATCTAATAAATATATTATCTACACATACATTCTTGTGTCGGTACCGTCCGAGCTGAAAGTACTCTCAAAAATAGCAGACGTCGAAATCTATTTTAGTATCAACATGTTACCGATCGGTTAAATGCATTCTTAATGCCTCTGTTCTACATGCTCTGGCATATGAACTTTACTTTCGTGATCAATACGATGTTTGTTCGTCGACTTTGGAAATATGATTTTTATGTGCCCACAAAGTATGTAATTGATTTTTTGTAAGTGTTCGTTGGATGTATAAAAGATCCTTGACTGACCGTTTCAAGGTCAAACGTTCAATATCATCGAAGAACATAAATCAGATATGTATATTAAGAATCTATGCACGAAATCCAATATTGTTAAAACTTCTAAGTCTTAGTAGATTCTATAATATTTCATACCTTAGAGTGTAATATGTAGTAAAATTTCTTAACATTTATTCGCTAACTGTGAGTGTATGGGATTATATGGATCTTTTAATATTCACACTACACACGGGCCTTCATTAATTTAAAAGCTGGTTGATAGTACTTTTCTATTTGTATTTTGTAACAGTATGTGTACGAGGACTCGATAAACCTGATCTCCATTACTACAATAAATTGCTAAGATTTGTGAATGAGGACCTTTTATTGTCATAAGATTAGGCTTACAAGCTGTGTGATAGTATTTTTTTAAATCATTTTATATAATATTTATTCGAAGTTTATTTATATTTGATAACAGTATGTGTACGAAGACTCGATGAACCTGATCGCCAAGCTGCCGGTTATAGCCGCTACCATCTACCGCAATACTTATCGCGATGGTAAAGGCATCGGTGCTATTGATGACAACAAGGACTGGTCAGCCAACTACTGCACCATGTTGGGCTTCGACGATCCCCAATTCACAGAGCTCATGAGGCTATACCTCACGATCCACAGGTATATACATACATACATATATGTATATATCGTTGGTGATAGTGCAAATCTTCGTAACTACCGTTGGATAATATCTCGTATCTACATTGGAAGCAGATTGGAGTTATTTGGTTTTTAATATATTACTAATTGTGAAAAAATTACCTTCAAAGTCATTGATTTAGAAAATATTTCAGCTTGAACTTTTTTCTTATTATCTGCTTCCAATGTCGATAAGCCTGAATTATCCATTGGTAGTTAAGCGGATTTGCACTATCCCCGACGGTATGTACAATGTACATTCATACAATGATTTTTACTTATTACACACCAACTCCATACAATATTGTACTAATTTCAACAAAAATCTATGTATTTGATACAAGTTTGTACGTCTACGATTTTCTTATAAATCATTGTTGCATAATAATTTTCGTGTTTAATATATCAACAAAGTAAATACAAAAACATTTAATTAACAACAGAAAATTAAGTTTTATAATATTCTTCATTTATATATAAATGGAAAAAGGTACAGCTGACGTCACAATAACCGGACCTAGTAGAAAAAAACTTTTTGATACGTTTTTATTAATAGAAACGCGTCAGGTTTTTTTATATCCGTACAAACGGCGTCAAAGACGAATTTATGTAAATAAATTAGAAAAGTATTTATTTTATTCTTAGAAGTTTATTAAATTGAATTCATTAAGATATATAAACGTTATTATTATGTAATATCACAAATTTAGTGGCTAATATCGCGGCGTTACTTGTGAGCACTAAAACTAAATCCTTTGTGGTGTCCATGACTGGAACATAAAAAACCGGTTTTTTAATAACCATCTCGTTGAACATAAAGTTAACATTGTAATATTAAATGAAAAAACCTTACTGTTTTACGTAACATTCATACAGAAATGATATATTAGTTTAGGAAATATATAATACAAAATATATATTTTTTTATATTAAGCACGAGTTAAATCATCTTGAGAATTAATACAATACCATATATTGATAAAATTTCTCTTTTCTCCTGCCTTGTCCTCAATTTGTAATACCTTCGACAAATACGGGGTCATAAAACGTAGCGTTGTTCGTGACTTGGCTTTTTATTTACTAAAATATGCTCGTAACCTTTTGAAGGATCTTAAACATATGTTAATACACACACATACAGACACAAACACCCTCACATACAAACAAGAGCAATGGTATGAATTAAGAGTATATTAAAAGGAAAATAATATTACCTAAGAAATAAGTTTTTCTCGCCTCGCTTACTTATTTAATTATTATTTAAGTAGGTATTAAAATTACAGAACAATCTTTTCGGTGTCATGGACGGTAGAAATATAAATATTATAATATATTGTATACTTTACTTAGTACAGATGTGCTAGTTGAAATGACACGGTACAAATTGTATACTGTCTACATTGACGTAAATATGTGTGTGTGTCTGTGTGTAATTACATATGTAAGTATGTTAGTAATTGTAATTTAACAAAAGCATTACTTATGGGAATTGTTTAACTCTGTTTTTTTTACTTAAAACCAAGGACCACTTGTCTCATTTAATTATTTCTAGCTTGCGTGACATAACTGAATTATATAACACAGGCAAAGCGAAATTGATGATTGTAGTAATTTAATGGTACGTAGTTTTGTATGGAAATAGCAAAATTATCTTAACAGTGACCAATACAATTCCATGATTGTATTGAATTGGAATTTACTTATAATTTAATATATATTATATACATATGTAGATTACCATAGAATTTTTTTTTTGCTATGCGAAATCATATTGTGTTTTTCATATATAACATTCCACTGAGATTTTTTTATTAATACAATAATAAATTATTCATAATGATTAATCTTCCGGCGAATGCTATTTACTGTGATTATTTAATATGTGCTTATAATATGAAAAGTTATTTATTAAAAAGGAGGGAACGTGTATTAGATTTGTTCCAAGAAAATTGTATGTTCATGGCCTAATATCGACATTTATAAATACTTACGATCTAAAGTAATTCCCCTTACTTATGGAATATTTTTTATAGGTTAAGCTTCAAATTTAATAAAAAAATATATAGTCCCTTTCAAACAAGACTATGGAAAACCCTGTCATTTAAGGCGTTATAATAATTAATCGTGTATTTAGTAAGTGACGTAATCATTAACAATTGTCGAATGTTTTGAAACGGCGTCGTTTAAATACGTGAGAGAATAAGAAAGTAAATCGAACTCGTTAAAACTTTCAGTTTATTATAATAAATGTCATGTGAAGGTTAAATTTAACTTGCAGTGAATATTAAATCCATAACCTTCATTATTATAAACCCACTTACTATGCAATTTTTATCAATTTTAAATAACAATTCATTAGAACAATAATTGCATTTTGTTATCAATGCATATCGTATGGTCAAATAAGCAAGTGAATGAACTTCTTACTTCTTAGTAATGATGTTTGCATTAACTATTATCCGGCCAATGAACAGAAATCCGATCGGAGATCTAGTTACTCGCTGTTTTCATCCAAGCATTATATCGTGTGCATTTTTCCACTAACACATTGTGTTTGATTTTTATGTCCTTCAAGAAACGCGATGTTATTGTCGTGGAAGCGTCTTTATTTATCGAACATAACGAGACTTATATTACGTATCCGTCTGTTACTTTGAGTACTTTAAATTATTTTTTATATTCATGTTATACCTTAGTTTCCTTATCGTCTTATTTTATCTTAAAACAAACGTGTTACATAATAATGACGGTATAAGCAAGATTTAAAAGGGAAATTATAATAAGTTTCTAGATGGATCTAGATTAAATGATTTATCTTGTGTTATATTATTATAAAACCATCGTGTGTCATATTTTATTTTTCTACAATGCTTTATAATTATTATTTGTTAACTAACAGGGTCAAGCTATAATTGATTAATAATAATCTAAGAAAAATTACTCAAGCAATCAGATAAAGATATTTTTCTTGATTGATGTTCGTGTCATGCAAACTATGCGTACATATTTGTTTAAATCCATCACAATCCTGCATCGAGTTATAAGACTTAAATGGAACAGTATGACTATTTTCATTACGATTTTATTTTAAAATTAAAATATTCATTTATAACATAATATGACGATTTAGTTGACGGAGTACGGAATAAATAACATTTTACATATATTTATATACGTGACGTAGATATTATTATGTAATATTTAATAAATTATGCTTCCAAGTGTAAAATAAATAAGATAATGTTGTTAAACCCCTCGTGTCAAGACAGGGAATTAGGTATTTGAAGTGCACTGCGATAAGTTTTATCTCAATTGCGTATAAAATTGTATGTCACGAGACAACTGCGTAGCTCAATAACTGTGCGTGTATGTCAATTACTACGTTATATCTATATAAAAAAATTATACTTTATGGAAAGGATGCATTTTTTTTTGTATGTCAGTTCATTGGATGACAAATCGCTTGTGCTAAATTGGATTTATTTCTTTATAGTGACATTGCGAGGATGTTGTAATAAAGAGCGAGAGTTCTTTTTTTGTCTCGCATTTCAGGATGTTTCTTATTGAGATGACAGTATTCAATGAAATGACATTGAATATTAAAATCGCACATAGTCGATAACTTTCGATAATTTTCGAGTTACATGCGAATTGAATTTAAAATATTTTTCATTATTTTTGTAATAATATAAGTAATAATTTGATAACGTCACAAGCTCTACGAATGTTCGAAACTTGATCAGGGTCAACGTTACCTTGTCAAATGTCAAAGATTATTAACCCATATTATCTAATCGGCCTTCATAAGAATTATATGAATAATAAAATAATATCGAAAAAATTACTCGATTTGTCGTACTTTTAATAGGTTTATTAAATTTTAAACACACATACATACACACATGAATATCCATATATGTATGATTACATAATACGTATTATCTATATGGAAAAATATTTTTATTGTTAATAGTGACCACGAAGGCGGTAACGTGTCTGCCCACACCACTCACCTCGTGGGTTCGGCTCTAAGCGACCCCTACCTTTCCTTCGCTGCTGGTCTAAACGGACTCGCTGGACCTCTACACGGACTTGCCAACCAGGAGGTCAGTACTCACAAAACTATTAAAAACTATTTGACCTAATAAACGATAATTTTAGTTAGTCTAACATAAGATACAGTAAGTTTAAGAATTTTGTGTTGTGTTTTAAGTTTACACAATTAAGAGTAATACAGAATTCAATATGTGGTCTCGGTTAAAACATCATCTATATATTTTTAACATATAGAATTAATATCGCCATAGAATTGTTGACATTCAATTAAATATATTACGTAAATCCTACTAATATTGTAAAAGATAGTTTGTGTGTATGAATGTACGTACGTATCGATGTTTGTTAGTCTTTCATGCAGAAACTATTTAGCTGATTTTGATGAAAGTTTACAGTTATGTAGCTTAGAAATCAGAATACGATACAAACTAAAATAATATTTGCTTTGTTCAAGTGTAGATGTCTCTGCGGCTTGTTCTCCATATCTATTGCTTAAACACACTTATTAAGTACAGATTAAATGGCTGAATTATTTTAATGTTGACACGTTGTGATCACTACAAGCGTGTTTTGTGGTCGCGAGTGCCGCCGGGGTGTTATCCGATTATATGAAAACCACAAATGTATTTAAACATACAAATTGATAGCATATGTTTGTCTTTGTTCATATGATACCCATTGCTATGACATAAACATTTATATCAGTTTTATTCAGTAATTTATAAAGAAATTGCTTGAAAACATTTCATGACGACTGGTTCTTAAATCTTTTCGAAATTGTGTATACGCAATCACAAATAGATTATATAAACTTACACCTGGATCGCAAGTCCCAGGCACTGTTGAAGCTCCTCTCCCTGCAACGCGATGGATCCATTGAATGCTAAGGAAGTTTCGGCTCACGTAAATCAAATAAATTTAATATTTTATTGGAACAGGTATTGATCTGGTTGGAGAAACTCCGCAAGCAGGTCGGTGATAACTTCACAGAGGAAGGTCTTAAAGAGTTCATTTGGAAGACACTTAAATCCGGTCAAGTTGTGCCCGGATACGGTCACGCCGTGCTTAGGAAGACTGACCCCAGGTAAAAAATTATATAAACGTAAAAACGTATATGATTTAAGTTCAGCCCTTGGATTTTAAAAGCGTTTCTTAGCACACTTCATAGAAAAAGATATCTCTGATGTATATTTATAAACCCTATATAAATTAATTAATCCCCTACACTTTCAACAAAATAATTAGTATGTGGAAGTGATTCGTAATTGTGATATTTAAAATAAACTTTCCTCCAATCACTTTGAAGGTGTAATTTATTTTGAACTTTCGCAATTGTATGTAAAAAAAATACTTTTGTGAAGAATAAAAACAAATGTTTCCTATATTTTAGTTCTTCTTGCATATAATGCATTTATACCTTTTCACGTTTTATTTTTAAGTTTTAAAAACTTTGTTTAGTTTGTTCATAATAGTAAAACTATCCAAAATTGTACTTAAGCACTATATTTCTATTTAATAGTACTATATTAAATAATGATTGGGTAATGGGTAGAAACAAGATTATACATACATACGGTTGATAACTCTAAATGTGGATAATGATCAGATCTTTGACCTTGTAGTTATAATATATCTGATGATAAGTGATGTAGAAAATCATACGATTCGTACAATGAAATGAAGCGATTCTACTGATGGTTACATTAAAAAGATATTTTATGAGTAAAATGCTATCTAGAATTTTGTTAATTTTACCGTTGACCTTTCCAACCTGTACATCTTTCTGTTAATATCCAATTATGTTGTTTTACAATTATGAAACGTTATAAAGAAATAAGAAAATATGATACAAAAAAAAAATTACATGCATAAAAGATTTAGGTTGGTCTCAAAATAGAAGAAATAATGTAAAATAACTATTACAGGTACACCTGCCAACGCGAGTTCGCCCTGAAGCACCTTCCCAACGACCCTCTGTTCAAGCTTGTGGCAGCGGTGTACAAAGTCGTGCCTCCAATTCTAACTGAGCTCGGCAAGGTCAAGAACCCATGGCCAAATGTCGACTCACACTCCGGTGTGCTCTTACAGGTACGCCTTAAATATCACACCATAATGTTTCTTAGTAAACAAAGTATGTAGTTTCAATGACAACGTCTATTCTGTTATCTAATCATAGAATTATTACATCAATTACCCTAGTTAGAACGAACAATGCTCAATGACATCTATTAAACTGAGGCTATGTAGTAAAATATTCTAAGTTATTTTATTTCAAGCATTCTCTCAAGTGTAGTAAAAATAAAATATAGAAAAAATAAATTTGACACAGTATATAATTGGAATATAAGAATAATGTGTGTTAAATTTTCACAAATTCTCACATTTAACCATAGATGTTCACATTTTACTTAATTACATTTTTCTTTTTCCTAATTTTTTTAAACAATTCTACAAAAAATATTTCATTTTATATCTTTAAAATTGTAGCAATATAATCTTATTGGGAGAGTACGAATCAGAATTACTTCAAAGAAATGTAATTATTCAGAAAGAATCACAGAAATAACACTTCGTGAATTTAATATTCATCATGCAATAATTAGTATTTACATAATAGTATCTAGTATTTTCGCGTTACACTGCATTTTTATCATTTTGTAACTACATAACGTCGACGTTTTAAAACTAGATTTTGAGGCAAGATAAAAGTATCCAGATACTTAGTCCTTAATTTCATTTGATATATACATAAATACAACGAACTAATCAGAACTATAATATCTGTCTTTAATGATTTCAGTATTACGGTCTGAAGGAGATGAATTACTACACTGTGATGTTCGGTGTGTCTCGTGCCCTTGGTGTGTTGGCTCAGCTGATCTGGTCCCGTGCTCTCGGTCTGCCCATTGAACGCCCCAAATCCCTCAGCACCGACCTCCTCATCAAACAGATCGGCAAGTAAACGTATAAGTGCCAAAAAGGGCCAAACTCGTTTAGTAATGGTGGGTAGTCACAGTTTCACTGTCCGATTACCCTTGAATCACAAAACAATAGTCAAATTTCATATATAAAGTCTTACAAACTTGTCATATATTAGTTTTAAGCGTAATAAATGTTTTGGATAGAGTTTATTTATTGTTATTGTACTTCTTTTCTTTACCGATATCTGTGATTATATTTTGTTTGTATTCTGTTTATATGTAAAATTTGATTTGTATTTTTTTTTCTATTTTCTCTTTACTAATCATGTCTTTGACTTTTGGAATGTGTTTCAAACGTGATCGGTCCAATTAGCTGCCATACTACTATCGAGAATTTTTAACTTTGGGTCATTTGGATAATTAATTGTAGGGTTTTTCATAGTAAAATTTTGTAACGGTATGCTGTGCATACTGTTCTCATAGAGGACATATTCTGGCCTACACATTAAATAAATATTCGATGCTCAGTAGTTTTCAGTATTTAATCGTTTTCATTGTACTTAGATTCAATAGATCTACGTTTTTCAAGAGATATAATAGATCACGGTCGATATTGTTTCAACATATAACAATCAGATTAAATCTAATATATCTCTTGTTAATTTATTTATTAATTCATTTCTAAAACAAGTAGTTAAATTATTTAATATCAAGTTACCAAAGTATTGATGTAATTTATTTCAATGATTTTTAAGTTCTGAAATGTATCCATCGTATCCTTTGTCTTTACCGATCAGGAACATCGTATGTTGAAAAAAACTAGCTAAATGTCTGGTAGTTTGATTGTATGTATGAGTTGTACGATAATTTATCAACGAGTGATGTCATGCATTGTTCTATCAGCGTATATGAAGTCGACAACACTGAATTGACAATACTAAGAATAAATCGGTATCTTGTAGTATATTGTTGTTTTATTACCTGTGTTATGATTACTTTATTAAAATATAACCCCTTTGTAATATTGTACGTCCTTATAATTAGTACGTTGACATATTCAATCAAATACATGTAACATTTCTAAGGACGTTATTATTTTGAAATTTCAATACACTTTTTGCAATTATTAACTTATTGCATATGAGATCTCCAATTAAAATCAAATATAAAGTTGAGCCACTTAAAAGTTCAATTACGTAATTTATATGTAATTGTTAATAATTAATCGATTTTTTTTAGAAAAGAACCTGTGGAAATTACAATTTTTATATTGACAAAAGTATGTACAATGACATAAATTGTATATTTTTATGCAGATCCTAAAGGAAGCATAAAACACAAGCATGAAAAGGATCATTGCCTACATTGAAACTACATAGTTGAATTTAAACGAAGACCTGTGTGGTTTAAATAAGATTTATTAGAAATAAATTATATATTTGTATTGAAACTTTTATTTGTAATACAATTAATTCAAGACTTAAAATCACCAGAGTCATTCCGAGTGAGTATATTAATGTGACATACATAATATATACAAGCGATATTGAATATTCGTCACGGCATATTAAACACCTGTACCATTACAAGTTTGTAATGCCATATTAATGCAGAGCATTTCGAATTTTTCTTTCATAATTTTTCACAAATGATAGTATGAATAAATAACATTAAAACCTATTTCATATGTAATGTGATTTTGATATTGCAAAATGTAATTGTAGTCATGGTACTAAGCTCTGTGATATAATTTCTTAGTTATACATAGCATTAAATATAAATAATATTGCAAATAAATCTTATTACAACTTGCATTTAGGACGCGACTTTCTAACTTTACAAGTTAGAAAAAGATTTTGTCAGTCTTTTTTTGGACGATAGTTTAAATCGGTTTTCGATTTTGTTGCTTCGGGTCTGTTACTAAGTGTACTATTCGATGAGTCCGGTTCTATTGTGAAAGATTCTTTGCGAGTGTCTGGTATAGCTATAGGGCGATTGTACTTCACTTCTTCAGGTAGTATAGTTAGAGGAATGACATCTTCACTACACAATCGCCATTCATCTACTATCAATAAATGCTTGCTTAGATCCCAACCTGAAATATATTAATCTATATTTTAATAATGTAATTATGCCAACGAATTGAGAAGAATTTTTCCTAGATCCTGTCCACTTTGATCTATTTGTAAAAGTAATAATAATATGTTACTCGTATTTTTGGAAAAAGTAAAAAAAAAATTCTTCACACATAATTTTTTTCCATATAATCGTTTACAATACCTGTCTGCAATAGACCTTCTCTAATAGCTGCCCATTCGTCGCTAGCTATATTCATAACGTAACGATGCAGCTCGTAAGACGGTTCATATTGAAAGTCTCCCCCTGAACCGGTGGCCCGACTCCACTCAGCTGATTGTAGTGTCACACAGACTTGCGCGAATGGCTTCGTATTATTATTGGAGCTGAATATAGCCTAAAAATAACATTTGTTAAAGAAAAAAGGCTTTACTGCATTTATTTATAAGAACCTTAACCAAGAAATTAGTATAAAAGAATTTTGGTTGCGATAAAAGATTCATTAGTTAATTGAGGCGAAAGAGTTAGTAAGATGTGAAAACTATAAATACAATAGAAAAGCAGATGCAAGTTTCTTACCAATTGATGGTCGTTAATAGCACAAGTAATAATCGCAAGCAAAACAGATTGAAAGTAAGCGCATAGCATGTCGTCTACCGACGCGTCTTCCTTTGGAAAAACGTACATCACTCTGTTTCCGGTATCAGTATGAATTATGTATTTCTTATCGTTATAAATATCCTTAAGCTTGTTTAAGTACACTGCATTCGTTCTTGGATTCAAAATCTTCGATATCGAGTCGCCGATCTTGATATGAAAACCGCATATTTTTAAATCTGTCAACAAAATTTTGTTTCTGTTATATAAAAAAGTATATTGTTTATTGCAGATTTATAAAAAAATTATTGTATATACCTAATAAATTGGGTCCTAGGTGATAGAAAATAATAGGTTCGTTACGATTTATTTCACATGGGTTAGCAATTATCTCCTTCCGCAGGTATGTGTCAATTACTTGTAAGAAACGGGGTTCATTCAATGTTCGTAAACAAACTGCTCGGACTGCCATATAGTTGAATACAATATGCATAATTAATAATATTATAAATATCACCAATGAATTCCTGAAAGGTAATACTTTTATCTAATATCCATTCAATTAAATTACTTATTAATCAACCAAATGTTTTAACACTGATAATCTTCTCAAAATAATCATTTTTTTGTTTCAGATGCACAAGAACTTGTCAATCAAATTTAAATAGAATTAATATTAAATGTGATTATTAATATAAAGCATTAACTAACATGACAGTCTTACCCAATCATAGATATAATAAACAGTGCAACAAAAGAAGCTATAAGATTAACAGCAGTCTCTTGAGCTGAGTCTTTAGCTGATACATCAGCTAGATTACCACGGAGAGCATGATGTTGGGTCATTGCCACTCTGGTAGCACCCCCTTGAAATAAGTTATTCTTTTTATATCCTATAACAGTATTACTTTATTAAGAATAATGTGTGATATATACCCGCAACTCCCACAATAGCCTTCATACAAGTGCTGACACAGAGAGCAAATGTAATATAATTCTTAAACAATGGTAGTGCTATTTCAATACACATGGCAGCATCATTTAATGTATCAGCATACAATCGCCATTTTTTGCTATAGGCATCTAAATGTGTCCTGAAAGTAGATTAAAGAGTGTACATATAACTAATTATAGCAGTGTTCACATGTAAAAATACATGTTAAGTGTAGTGATAATTGTGAAACAAAAATATTAATTATTTCCTCACCCATGAGTATAAGCAAATAATATTTTCCCAATATGCCCACAGCCATCTTTGAACACCCAAGTAACAGTGGCTGCTAATGGTGAAGCATTTGTATCTCCCACTCCTACCCCACGGAAAACTTCTTGAGTGGCCAGTATACCTAGAATTACAAAGAACATCAGAATAAATTTTTCATTTACTGGCAAATTCATTAGAGTATTCAATAGAGTAATGGTAACAGAAATCTGTGACTACTAGTCTATTCAGAGAAGATTCTTGAAAAAGACATACAAAAACAAACTTACACAATATGTCTCTTATTACATATAAATTTTCAGGCACTGATTCAGAGCACTATGTAAATCAATTCATTCTAATACCATCAAACAAATTATATAGACTATCTATCACTTTTCTTATTAAAGTACTTTTTAAAAAAATGTGTAATATACTTTTAATATTAATAGTGGTGTTGGCAATTTATGCCACGAAAATATTTGTTAATGACGTGTTTGAGGTTTTATTTTACCAACCTGTAATAGTACTGCAAAATGCTTGAGCAGTGTCCCAAATTTGGTAAAAAATGTAATCTTTGCTGACACTGGCAGGATATCCTTGTGGAAGAAATATTTTAGTGAATAACCCAGCGACGTCGCGGAACTTCTCATCCACTACTACTACAATTCCCAATTGATCTAAAACGGCAGGTAATGATGGTGAAACTCAAAATAAGGAATATTTAAATTTTTTTAGAACGTTAAATTCATACCTGTGGCTTTAACATAATACCTCTCCTTAGCAGATGTTCCATATTTTTCCTTTAGCACTATCTCTCCCTCGTTTAAAGACATTTTTAAAGTTATTGATAAATTCCTGGGATAATATATGCACGATGTACGTATTTAAAAGTACATTTTTGCCACGAAATCAAGAAACATCGACCGGCTAAATAGTATCACGTTTTATAGACATAAGTTATTTATTTGAGGCAACTGGCAAATTGATACCAAATACAAGTCAATATAGTGTTACCCTCAGTAATAAAGCTTAGAGATAAAGAGAACCATAGTGTATCGTAAATCACATAAAAAATATGGACGAATATATTATAAAGGATGTTTACTTTTCATTTTGTAGATTGTTCCTAAAATTTATTAAGTTCCTTTAAGTAGTAATAGATACGAATCAACTTTTATGACTTTTCAATGTAACTTGCCTGCACTAAGGTCTGACATATTTCTTACTAAGACATTGTCATGTAGAAACTATGTATGTAGGTTTTAAGTAGTTTTTTGAAGTGAAACTTCTTATAAGCACCTTCCAACAAGTTTACGTTAAACACTTAAACGTTTTACACTTTTAATAGAGACAGAGCGAGAAGAAAAGGGAGAGGGAGAAAAAAAAGATACACAAATGTAAAAAGTAGGAGAGAGAAAGAGAGCGAGTCGGTACATTCCAAGCAAATGGCCAATTCCAATTTTTTTAGTTTTATTTGATATATACACATATTATATTTTCATTTGAACATTGCGAAGTTTCACTTCTTCCTTGTGGGGGGACTCTACCGTCTACGCACTATTTTTTAAATTATAAACAAACACAATTTATTCAAATTATTCTTCGGTTCAGACAATATTAATAATTAAATCATTCTCAGTTATGTTTAGAAGTGTTATCAATAATACTAGTATTACAAAAAGACGTACGTACGTAGCCACTAAAAGTGATTAAATTAAACTACCCGTACTTAAATAATTTTTTTATCGCTAAGGAATAAGGATACCACTTTGTCTAGATACCAAAAGTCTCAATAAAATTGACAGTGTCAATGTCAACTCCGAAACATACGGAATATTATCTTTGTGTAATAATTAAGATTACTATAAACAAAATCCATACAGTTGAGTTTTATATAAAGGAGAATGTGTGAAATGTGAAAGTTATAACAATGATATTAAAATGGCTACAAAGGCAAGTAAATCCAATACAAATGGGATGACAATAATAGGAAATATTGATGATATGCAAATTATAAAAGAAATCAGTGATGAAGATAATATTAGACCAAAAAATTCATGTTCATTGAACACTCCTTTAAATCTTCCCACTAATTTAGTTCAGAACTCTGGAGCACCTGTTTATGAAAGCGTCTCGGTTACAAATTCGGAAAATGTTCAGTTTGGTAACAATACATATTTTAATGGTCCAGTAATCATAAAACAAATAGTCCATCCTAAAACTGGCGTTGATAACGCTTCCTACACCAAAACAGAAGAAACAGAAAAAGATGATTTGCAGAAGCCCCCTTGTGAAGCATTGGATGAAACTTGTAAGTTAAACTTTCAATTTGATAACAAGATTTGGACATATATGTCAATATGAAGTGTGTCTATTTTATATAATGTTATATTTACAATAGCTGTGTGAATGTTTTCCTGTTGTATATAAATAAATATTCAATGTATATAGCACAGTAAAGGTCAAACACCTCTACACATTTTGAATGCCACACTTGACATTGATTAAATGAAAAATGTTCTACCTAAAATTGAGGGAATAACCTTCACTATGTAACATTTTTATAAGTATCCTATATGATAAGATAGCCTTTATTTAAAAATGTTACATTTTTATATATATAAACTAAGGTAATGGTAAGCCATTACTGCAAATATTTCTGAATCTGTATTTCATGTAATTGTAGTTTCACTACAGTTCAATTGACTGCTGATATCAGCTAAAGTTATGTTTGTATTTAACATTTATTAAATGGATATAATTTTTTAACATATTTACTGACCCATAATTTAGCTGCCCTTGTCTAATAATATCAAACCATTGATTCATTATAACTTTGTATTTTGTAGATATTAAAAAGAATGAGATATTGTTGTGGCACAAGATAACATTCTCCGCAGTATGTATTACAGTTGTTGGCTGTGTTGTGGCTCTTGTGCTTGTTTTACAAAACAAAAGTGATGAGCCAATTCATAGAAATGCACAGTCAGATTATGATAAAGAAGAACATAGTAAGTTAAATTAGATACTTTGTTTACACAAACAGTTTTGTGTCTTGAATGAAATGGAACTTAAATACTTTGTATATGTGATCATGTTCACATGAATTCTGGAACATTAATCTTTGTGATAAAAAAAATCCCCATCATTTTTTTTTATTAACAATTAAAATATATTATGACAAAGTATATGAATAGAGGAGTTGCAATGGAATGAAAATTATTTAAGTTCCTTTTATTGTCATGTAGTTATAAATACAGAGCATATAAAGATCATAACTTTGTTTTGGCCATACTGTTGTTATTTTGAGAGTTTTTTTCTAATAATCTTAAAACTATAAATAAATATCTTAAAATATTGATATGTATTTCTTATACCACATTGTATAAGAAATATTAAGATATGTAACTCTCACAATAATAAAGAGTATTTTATAAATGTGATGGTGAATTTATTTCAGCTCGTTTGGTGGTGGGCGTTTGTGATGAAAATTTTCAACTTGTTATAATATCGGTACTCCTGTTAACATTAACATTTATGTTAGTTTCTTACTCATTACTAACACCGAGTGTTAAGAAAATAAATAATGGTGTGGACATAAATCATCATTTGAACTATATCAATAAAAATTGCATGTCCTGCAAGAAGACAGGTATGATATCACTTGCAACACCCATCCCTTATCAAATGTATCAGTAAGTCGGAACTAGTTTGATTATTTTGTAATCAATTATAAATCGCCTTGGACAATGGCACTTAAGTCAGCATATACTGTTAAAATATCATAGTTTGTATTGAATACTGTAAATAATGGTAGAACTATATAGAATATATGCTACCTTTATTTTATAGTTTCTTTTATATTATTTATTAAATCTCAATAAGTTATTTTATAATGCTTTTATTTAATAATTCCAGCAAATTCATTGCTGATAGCACCGAATCATTTGCGGATAGTATCCAGATCGGACTGGTTGTCACAGCCTGTGGAAGGCGAGGTTGACATGCTTCGTCAACCTGTACCATGGGTTATTATAGCACATACTGCCACAGAGAGCTGCCACACACAGGTGAATAAATCCTATTAATAAAGTCTAACCCTAATATCTAACAAGTAAATATAAATAAAATTATTATTTTAATTTACTCAGTATAGTAATATAAGATTGTATTTCGGTTTAAAACATATAGAATAATTAAAATAATTATCACCTTTCACCTAACCTAGACAGATGTGTACATTTTTAGTCTAAGGATTATATATTAAATAAACTTTATCTTTAATAAAAAGGAAATAAAAGTTATAAAGTTTTTTGTGCTGTCTGCATAAAAATTTAAAGTAGGTGTTCATAATTTACTCCAACACAATTAGTAGTTGTGTCATGAAAGTTAAATACACCTTTAATTTTTTTTCTTATTCTCGTATTGCTTAGATTAACAATAAAAACTTAAACGGTGGTGATGAGAATTGTAAAAAGGGTTCCAATGAATTTGATAAGTATTTAAATATTTTTAAGGTTATGTGTTTCTTAAAACTCTTTAAAATCCACATTATTACTTTTGTGTGTACATAATGATATCTTTTTATTGTTTGTTGATATTGCTTTATTATTTCCGAAAATGATTTGCACAGTGATAATGTAAAGTACATTATCAGTAGTTGTAATTGTATTTTTCATCATAATTATTAAACATGCAATTTTGACTTATGTTTTTGTTTTACCAAAATATTTTTAGTATGTATGCATAAATTGATAGTTATTATATTATTTCAGAGTGAATGTGTTCTACGTGTGCGATTGATACAAATGTATCATGTTGAAGCTCGAAAGTGGTCAGATATCGGGTACAACTTTCTGGTGGGAGGAGATGGTTCAGTGTACTATGGTCGTGGCTGGAACATTCAGGGCGCTCATACGAAAGGTTACAACAAATATAGTATCGGAATAGCTTTTATTGGTACATTCAACACCACCCCACCTCCAAAACAACAAGTTGAAGCCTGCGAGAAACTTCTCAAGCTGGGTGTTGAATTGGGGAAACTAGCCAAAGACTACAAACTGTTTGCTCACAGGCAGTTCATGTCAACTCTCAGTCCAGGTGATACAGTTTATGACATCATCAAGGAATGGCCACATTTTGTCAGCAATGTGACAGACGCAAATTCATTAATACCCAATTATTAATGACAGTATATTGAGTTAATGTTTGACAATAACAATTATTTCAGAAATTCTTTTGGTGCTGTTTATACAGGGAACAATATTTTATATAGGCTGCTGTATATTATAGAGTAAATTTGTCGGAAAATAACGTAAGGTCAGTTCGGGAAGACCGGCATATAAAATAAAAAAAAATACAAATGGTCTTAGTTTGGCGATTCTATAACCTTCATTCCAAATATGGTTGAACTAAATGATAGCATGTTTATTTGACCAAACTGTAAACGTGTCAAAATGACAATTAAAGCAGTGGATCTGAAAATAAACATTTTTTTTTAAATCGTGAAATAAGACGGATTTGGCACCCATGTTGGCTAACATTTTATTTCACTCATTTGGCTAGATTCTTCATTCGTCGGCGAAGACCGTCATTCAGGGGTTGTAAACAATTAATAATAACTAATAAGTAAAATTATCTAATAACGGTACAGAATTGTCTGATAACGGTTCATTGTTAATTTTCGGTTCTACTGAAATCACGTTTTCATCAATCTCGGTTTCAAAGGTTAAATATGGTTCTGTACAGATATTTCTGGCGGTGTGTTGCGACTATTGAATTCATCTGCACTATCCTTCAACTTTATATTAAAAAAATCAAGTAAAATTGACACTAAAGATTTTGGATTTCGCCCAGTGCCTTGTTGTTCTTCTGTTAAAACATGTTCCTTATTTCTCTGCTGCAGAAATATTTCATCCCATTGTATTAGTTTCAACATATCAAATTTGTCTTTATTTACTTCATCACGGTTTACTGGGTAAATACCAGATTTTCTGAAACCATTTCGCAACACTTGGGCATCTATTCCAGACCAAATCTGCCCAATCATTCGTGAGAATTCTGATTTGGAATATGGATTTTAAAAAGGTTTAAAAAAATGTTGATAATATCTGTATGTGGCAAAGGCCGGCATATGACATTCATCACCCTCCATGGCCTAGACGGACTTAGCCACAGCCTATTTTGAGGGTAGCTTTTAATTTGATCAACTATAACTTCGTAAAAAACGTTTATTTTACTAATGTAATTTACTATCACATAGATATATCATAGAAGAATAAAATTACTTGCATAGATCCTCCAAATAACTGAGATTTCAACACAAATACCTTTTTTTTACCAACGTGGCGCACTCCCGATGCAAGTGCTTTAGTGTACTGAAATAACAACCGCGTTTTTTTTGCGTTCATACCTACTAGGTACGTATAGCGATATCTTTGTAAATTGATATGAACTTAAATGGATTTATTGTGCCGCTGATTGTTTGGCCATTTTTGTAGCTCTACTGAATTAGTAGTTATTCGTGTTAGACAATCTTACCCTCCAGACTATCTTATCCGAACTGACCTTATGTCTCTGCGTAAACGCTGTTGTTATTAAAAATAAACTTAATATGTACTTATATTGTAAAAATTATGTATACATTGATATATAAATATATTATTGAATTTTAATTGATATCAGATATTACATTTATTGTATAAAGACATGAAATAAATTGTAATAAATCATACAGTATAAAACATTAGTATTATAAACATGTATATGTACTCAAGACATAAATTTTTGATATTTTTAAATATCATTGATCGTATGAATATATATAATTACTATCTGTATATTAAAACTTTACTTGCTATAGAACTTAGAACGTCCTTATAGTCAAAAATAAATAAAGCACAAACAGTCTACGCATGCCCGTTGTGTTTGTGACAGTTCTTGTTGCCATGAGAAATGTATCAAACTTTTAGTGTCGGATCGACGTCCATAAAAAACTTAATCGAGCAAATAAACATAAGATATTTGATTTAAATAAAGATAAATAAAATAATATAATGACAGCATTGCTTGTATTATTATAAAATATGCTTTAAATCCTTTAAAACTTTTTGGACAATAAACGCCATCTTGTGACGTAATAGGGAGTGAATTTAATAATTCCCTAGCCCAAGCAAGTCGGTTTTAACCGGATTTTCTCAATGATTTACGAAGTTTAAATATTCAGTATTATAATGACTGTAGATGTGAACGTAATTCGAGCTTGGAAACATAGTTGTCATAGTTCAGGTATTTATTAATTGCTATTGTATAAATGCAGATGCAAATACAACTATTTATAACAAAAAACAATTATACATATTTTTAAAATATCTTCATAAGGGGTAATTTTGTACAACTGAAATATATATATTTTTTTGTAGTCAAATTTATAAACCCTTTAATTCCTAAGAAATTTTGTACAATATTACTGTATTATACTAATAGGTGAAGTCTAAAGGCCGTGGGAAATGACAGATGTTTTTTTCTAGCTCTCGGCCTGTTTTACACGTGTAGCATTGACATTAGGTTGTATATTGACAATTAAAAGTTATTAATAGCTAGTACATTACAATTTATAATGGAGTTTAAATCTGATTTTTAACTGGAATTGTAAAAAATATAATATATATGTAAAATAACGAATATTCAATGTTCGCTAATCGAACAGACATATTAGAGCATATGATTTCTTTACATTACCATGTGATACTAAATATTTAGATACCGTTAATTGTTTTTTAAATATATTACACTGGTCAACAAAAAAATAAAAGTTGTTTGTTTCCTTTAATGTTTTTCTTGTTTCTATCTTACTTTGACGTATATTTTTTAAATTTCGAAACAGTTTTCCTCTAACAGCTTTTGTTTTTGAGTTACAGCTAACTACCCTCATTTACTACTTATCTACATATGCATTTTTAATTCGACACTGCAACATATTTTGTTGCTGTTTTCGACATGGTTTCGTCAAGAAGATGTTGTGTGCTTAATCCCGACTCTTTTTGTTATATTTCTAGTGAATATGTATTTGCAAAGTATCGAAAACCTATGTCGAACTTGTGAAAAATGTGTATCAACAATACTTTAAAATAAAATTGTTTAATCAGAACAAGCCGTGGCTTCCTCATGTTGTATGTGAAAAATGTGTTGTATGGCTACTATTGTGGTCCAATAGAAACAGAGATGCAGTAATATTCGAAACACAGGTGGTCAGGTGCGAGAACCTTAACACGATCATGACGACTGATACTTTTGCGTTATGAAAGTAAAAGAAATTAATCCTGGCAATCGAAATAAGTGGCCACATCCTAACTTGTCTTCTACCCAACGACCCCAATTAAAATTATGAGAGGTACAACCTGGCAAATCTAAATCTTCTGATGACCCGAATCCCTGTGAACCCGAACGAAATTCATCAAGTGAAGATTCTTATTCAGTCTACAAATCTAGCCAAGAATCTCAAGAACAGATCACGTAACTCGTGAAAGATTCTGATTTTGTCAAATCAATGACTAAAGTGGAATCGAAACCTTAGAATTCATTTTTTTTTGGTTATTAGTAATTTCTTAGGCAAAAATGAATCTGACGACTACGTGGAGCTTGTTGAGGCCATGCTATCGAATTTGAAACAACTAGGGTGCAACATTAGCATAAAATCCACTTCCTGCGCTCGCATTTAGACCGATTTCCAAAAAATCTGGATAATTACTGTAAAGAGCAGGGTGAAAGATTCCTCCAGGGTCCAGGACATTGGAAGAGCGTTATCAGGGGCGGTGGGACTCATATATGATGGCAAACTACTGCTGGAGTTTGCAACGAAATCTATCTGAAGTCGTTCAGTCAAAAAATTCCTATAAAAGATCATTTCATTGTATTTTATAAAACATTTTGTATTAATTTTCTGAATTTTTGGTCAAAATAATAAAAAATATATATTTCAAAAACTAAAGCTGTTAGAATTTTTTTAGTATTTTTTTCATATTCAGGGACATAGAAATAACTAATAACAGTGAAAAAAATAAAGGAAACAAAATATGTGTTGGGCAGTGCTATTAGAAATAATGTGTTTTCAAACATTGTTAAACAAATAAACAGTTTTAAACGATATGTGTTTTTTACCTTTATATTAAATTTAAGGCTACAATATATTTTTATATTTCGTTGCCTTAAAATTTTATTTTGCAAAAACATAATTATAACATATTTCTCGGATACATGTTGATTTTTAATTGTAAGCATTTAATTAAAGTTTTCAGTATGAATAATTGTTTATAATTGGCTGGTGGAACGCTATTTACATATTTAATAGATTTCTAGCTTATCTAAATGTCTGAGCTATCAAATATCTAATATATTATTAATGATATGATGATGGGTGTAAACTGTAAAGGGTGAAACACGCTACAACGATTTTAATATTAACCCTAATGTCCTACCGTTTCAGTATTAATTCTTAACGTTTCGTGCTCTGGTTTTGATGTTATCGATTTCTGTGCTAGTAAAAAAAATATATATTTTTATATCAGTTAAGTGATATTTTATACAAATATATCCCGTAAATATTTAATTGCTATTTTCAGAACAAGTAGATTCAATAAACAAAGATATTTATTCTTTTCCAGTCAAATTAATATGAAGAACATGAAATCGGATTCGTCGGCGAAACTTACGCGATGGAGCTTCTGTATAACGAAATTCACGGAATTTTGCAAACGGACGGATTTACACGGCTTCAAATATATTGTTATGGAGGATCTTAGTGTGGTTGAAAGGTTTGAGCTTGACTATTGTATAATAAAGTTAAAGTGAAACACAAACCTTAATACTCCTTTAAATGTCTAAGGGCAAGGAAAATATATTAGGCTCTGATATTTCCGAGATAGGTACTTAATTTTAAGGAGCACTATATTAGGTCCCGTAATTTCGACAGTTTATACATCGGTTGGTTTGAGATATATTATCATTAAATAATGGATTTTAAGATTTTTCAACAAACAGTCCGTACGAAATAGTTTTTATAAAAACACATATGGTTTTTTATTATTAAGTAAAAAAGTGTTTTAAGAAAAAATGCTAGTGGGAATTTTTTCAGACTTTTACGAGAATATGTTTTGAGATATCTTAGTTAGGTGAAAACTAAATTGTTAGCCATTAGAATTGAAATTAACATTTTATTAATCAAATGTTCGAGCAGTCTCTACGACATTAATTTATTTATTATCTTAAATAAAATCTCTGTTATTTCGAATTAGCCCAGGAGTCATACTCCTATGTCAATAAAAGTATTTTCAGCTGGTTTTACTATTTGGCGTAAAAAATTCATATTTTTTATTATATTCATATTTTCACTACATCATTGTAGTACCTACTTTCAATGAGGAATCGATGTTTTTGTTTTGAATGAAATATTTCAATAAATTATTTAGTCAATAGGATTACTTTATAAAAGGATAAATGGTTTGGGAGCTAAGAAAAATGTTTGTTATATAGTTGTGATTATATTATACCTTTTGTCATCAGATAAGTATTAATGAATGCTGCCCAAAAATTTTGCGGTTACTTTTTTTGAGATGTTTTTGGTGAATAATCTTTTTTTTTAAATCAGAGACAAAATAATCTACTATATAAAAATTTAGAAATATTTTGATTTTTCATATTACCTCCTCCCTCTTGTTCATACTCTCTTTTCATAACTCTTAAGAGAAAAGTACATAGTGTAGCCATAAATATTGTTACAAATAAAAAAAATATATTTCTATTGCAAATAACATTTATAACTTTTACAGTATGTAAGTTTAATACATAAATATAAAATAATTTAAAACATAAAAAGCTTATTCGAAGTGGTAGCCATTGGCTGCAATACAGCCCTTTAAACGTTGAGGCCAGTTATCAATAGAAGCACGCACTCTTTCCATGGGAAAATTCTTCACTGTCAATCGTATGGATTGCTTTAGGGAGTCCAAATTATCATGGCGTTTAGAGCAAGCCCTACTCTCTAAAACTGACCATAAACCATAATCCAGCGAATTAAGATCGGGGCTAGACGGCTGCCAGTCTTCAGCTCTGATAAAGTCGGAAACGTTTGTTTCCAACCAAGACTGCGTAGACCGGGCTTTATGACCCGGCGGTGAGTCTTGCTGGAAGGACTATTTTTGGTTATTGAACATGGTGTTGTTAAGGGGTTTAACTATATACGCAAGAATGGTATTTTGCTACACTTTTGCTTAGATACCTTTTTCATAAAACAAACAAAATTTTTCTGTGACCTCCCTTTGCATACCGCTTCAGTAGTTGTTTAGATTTCATCACCCTATTCTTTTTTAAATTATCATTTAAAAAATGTTCAGTGCGTCTCTTATAGGCTGCAAGTTCTAAGTCATCTTTTAAAATACGCAGCATGGTTCTACGTGCTAACCTTACTGCTTTGACCACATATTTCGTATGAACACTATGTGGATGGCCAGATCTTTTTCTGTCACAAACAGAGAAGATCTCTTCGTACCTATCAAAGGCCGGTACTCAAAAATTTGTCTAATGCAAAGCGTGTGGAGAGTTTTAAAAATTGCATTTGGCTACATAGCCACTTTGTGTAATGCAATAATAGCGATACGGTTCTCTTTATCACCCCACTCTATTTTAATATCGCAAAATATTGAACATTGCATTTTCGCCAAAATAAGAAAACACAATGAAAAATTGTATAAAATGTCAGATTCTAAATTCAAATGTAATATTTTGTTTATTTTTAATTGTAACAGTATTTATGGCCAGACTATGTATACTTTCTTTCACTCTGTCTTTTTACTTATCAAATTAATTAGCCAATATATAATGATAATAACGGGAATGTACGAGTATACGATTAAAACGTTATTACATATGGACCGGAAAAAAATTAAATGCGTGATAATACCTATAAATGTTGCTTTCCTATTTTTTCATTGTAAATCTGCTAAATAACCAATTAATTTATGAGAAACCTACAAATAATAATTATTTCAAAGTTTTTCAATGAAAGCATAAGTTTAAGTGACTGTGTGGATAATTTTGGTAATTTTCGTTTACATTCATGGGGTGCTACGCAAATTTCAGTACTTCGTATTACAGATATCGACCGACTTCGTATTATTGATACCGTCGTTGGACCGACACTCGATTGATACATTGGCCTGACAAAAAGTGGGGGTTCACACTTCGTACGTCTAGATCAACAAAAAATATATGCTTTCTTACTAAAGATTTAAAACATCGGCTAGTTTTATCACCTATCAATGTAGGCTGATAATATTTTAAGAAGTTACACGACATTTACGTTCATTAAAACATTTTTTTCTTCATCTTAGTACTTTTGGAAATAAATGTCAGTGTAGTAGAGATGTACAAGAAATAGTTACATGCTAAAATTAAATTCATCAGTTTATTGTAGACTCCTTACATTACATTATTATTCATATTAATTATTTATTCTTGGATACGGCATTATGTATAAAATAAATAATCTGTTTTAATGTTTCATATACATATGTAGATACCCTCCAATATTTTTTTGTTACACTTATTATTATATTGAGATAAAATTTGACAGGAGTTTTAGAAAACGCTCACAAAGGTCTAGTTTAGAACTGATTTTTATTGTTTTAAACATTTTTTAGTCAAACTTCAAAAGTTGTGTCTTCTTAACGTAATTAACAAGGAAAGAACCGCCGACAAAAACTAGTTATAATATATGTGCACACGGTAAAAGTAATCTTCGTGATAGACCTTATCTTATCATTTTAGAAATATGATAATCAGCTTATTTTTTAATATTTACTTTAGATCATCAATATTTATTTTATGAATCATTATAAAGTTCAAATACGTTTGACATTGAAACCTTCATTCATTACTTTGTCACATTGTTTGAATTTTCAAGATCTTATATTATGATTCGTTCAACAAATAGAAACGTTGACATTGGCAAAATATTCCACAATTTTCGGTTTGAATGAAGCCATAGCATATTTTTTTTATATATTATTAGTTCGAACTACGAAGATATCTAAAGAATTGCGATAAGAACACTTGCATCTGTTTGGTAGAACATATCACACTTGATTACATCTAGTATAAGCTTAATTCACATTAATTACTGATAAAACACACATTGGTATGTTATTTTTGATATTAGATACATCTGGATATAAAAATTTCCTTAATAAAATGTCAGTTTATCAAAGAAAATAACAGTTTCTTTCTATCTGAAATTTGTTTTTATTCTAAATGTAGTTTGTGGTGAAACTGATGCATACCTTTTAGGACGATAAATATACAGAGGTTTATCAAACAGACATTTTTATGATTTCTTTCAAATGTGGAAGATCTGTTAATTAACATAAAGCTAACTGCTAACTTAAAGTTTTTTAATACACTTAATGCCTGATCACTTTAGTCGTTATGTTTGGAACTTGGTTTGGTTAGCTTACACTCTTTTATTTTTGTACACAGTTGAGTTCATATGCAGTATTTAGCCTGCGGAATATAGTCTTATAAGACAGTTATACTCATAAAATTACGGAAGAGTTTTTTTTAATGAGAATTTAAAAACGAGTCCTCATTCAGGTGCGTGTGGGCAGGAGCAGTGGTGATCAGCATACTTTGCGCAGCATTCTTCGTGACCACAGCTTATAGCTGGTACGCAAGGAACCCTATCGCTACAGTAAGTTAATAAAAGTGTGAATTTTCACAAGGTGCTTTTTATTTCCTTCACAATGCCTGTGATGTCGCTTTTTGCAAAATTAAAAACTTTCATAGCTAGGATAAATCTAAATCATTATTATGAAACTGTCCAATTTCGTTATCGTTACTTACGAAACTCGATATTATATTTCGTTTTTAGATGAAATGGAACGCGTATATGAGCATAATCACGAATCTAAAACAAAAAGTTACTTCGGCAGGATAGATGCTTTGAAAAAAACTTAAGTATATTTTAAAGGTCTCAATTTAAAATCTCAATTAAAAATTTATTATAGATGTTTCACTTCCATCAAAATATAGTCAAAACATTTATCTACTGTCCACTTTTCTGTACCAATAAAGTTGAGTGAATAATCCAACTTTGATCGGACTCAATCCATTTTGCAATACTCCAACGATACTGAAATAGTCTTAGCTCTGCTCAGAATGTACCGAAACGGTTTTACCCAATATTTGAGTGTTTCGTTTTTAAGTTAAAAGAAGGAATTAAAATTTATCAATATGTTTTTGGGGAAATTAACAAATATATATTAAATACTCAATAATGTTATATTTTATATACCTATAAGTTTACAATTTATTTCACAATGGTCGAGTTTTGAAGTGAAATGATTTTGGGCGGTTACTGAAACGTTTAATGGATTACGCCTTTTATCCCTTTGATCTTGCAATGTAGTGAGCTTTCTCTGTTTCGTGTATTGTGTGTATTTGTCATTTATATCAATTTTCATTAGATAGAAAGTGCTACGAAAGAATTATTAGATTAATAGATACAAAGTGCTCTTAAAGAAAAAGTTCATATATTTTTGACCTGTTTTCAAACTTTATAATTAAATTCACTTAAATAATGGTTTTATGATATATTATGTAGCTAATTAATTTCAAATTTATCTTACCTCGGAGCACCGCTGGGTCTTTGAAGACGCTTAATTTTTACAAAAGGTGGTGGTGAAAATATTTATAAATATTGTCTGTTCTATCAGTACTTTTAAAAAGTATCAGTCTATTAAAGGCTCTTACTGCTTCATATGTTATCCTCCTACTCTACACTATTTAAACTTAGCAGATTTTTCTTATTTCCTATAGGTTTTTCCTCTGGTTTGAAGGGCAATTTTGATCCTGTGCTTCAGCCGTGGTCTCCATTCAGGGGCCTCTCTTGAGTATTGGTGTTTTTTTGTAATAGTTGCATTATCTGTCCATTCTAGTTGGATTCTGCAAGTTACTTTTTTTTTAACCAGCTTCTAGATATCTAAAACATATGACTTATAAAACTAAGTATAAAATTTGTTAGTCGTATAATAGGTACTAACTTTTTTAAACAATTTGCAAGCGTAAATATGTCTTTGGAAAATCGAAGAAGTATGAGATCTTCGTGAAAGCAAATGAGTTCATCAAATCCATCAGTTTAAACATCGCGCGAGCACATGACATTATTACCAACTTTGAACACTTTCAGATGTAAGTTCTTTTTGAACGCGTTTCATATTAGAAAACAATAATTCGCAAGAGCATAATATTTTATGTCTAAGTAAACATAAATAATACTATGTTTATTTACATTCAAAGAATAAGTAAAGTTTTAAAGTAAATATAAAAAACAAATTAATCTTCAAAAAGATAAAATATGTACTAAAGATATTTGAAATTAAGATTTGATAGTGACACTATATATAAACACACATAATATAATGTGAATTGTCAGATATCTAGTAAATACAATGCGAATAAACGCCGAATTTATAACTGTCAATCTAATGATAGTGAAGGCATATGAAACTATTATCTGTTCCTAAATTAACTTTTCCGCAATGTGTTGACGTCATTGGCATTTCTAGTGTTTTTCTTTTTTTATATAAGTAAAAATATTTCATATTATTTTCGTGAATTTATCTCGTACAGTTAACCTCTAGAGATAGGAAGATTGTCGTTTGAAGTATCCGTATAAATCTGTCCTCCATAAAAACCGAAAATATGCTGATAAAAATATTTCAAAGAATCATGTTACATATATCACAAAGTCAAATAAATGTTTTATCAAAATATGTTAAATTAGATCGATAGGAGATAGAGGTCTGACCAGCAGACGTAAATTCGATAAGAAACTACGTCAATGAATTACATTTCGGTGTAATAATAATCCAAGAAAATGGATTAGCACTAAATGATTTTAATGATTATTGCGAAAGCTTCAGTGTAGTAAATCCGAAATGTCGAGTATATGAATTACAAAGAAGGTTACTTTATAAAGCAGTACGAACAATATTTTCTTCCGTCGATATCAGTGGTCCTAGAGGTATTTCAGGGTTGAATCTTGACAATTTATATTAATTCTATTAATAAAATAGTATCAAGTAGAGATACAGAAAGTAAAATTTTATATTAAAAAAAAATATTTTACACTGTAACACCAAAATTTTCCTTTTACGTTCATTTGTTCTAAAATATTCCATTAAAAGGAAAATATGATATGCATATTAAAATATAATATGCAATGCATATGCACACGATAGAACAAATATACATATATAATATGAAGCTCATATGAGTTATCCTATAATAGAATTTGCCTTTTTGTTTCGTTACTGACTCTTGAATGGCACTTAAAGCGTTGTGCAATTATGTAACAAATATACAACATTACAAAAGGAAAACTTGAAGGAAAGGGTTAGCTTTTACAGGGTGTAATATTTTTTCTAAAACCTAAGTCGGAAGTTAGAATTGTGTAAAAAATTTGAACTTTTTTATTATATTATCTATAAGGAAAAAAAAGATAGTAGACAACCTTTGTCACTTATAATATTGATAATAATCCATGCCCTGTTAATTAATAAGGAAGTGACTTCTCTCTTTAACCATTCTAAAAAATACTTTCAATTGAATTTTTTAATATGATCTTGGTACGCTCAATTGCATAATATAAAAAAGTTAAGTACGGCAAGCTAAGCTCTATAATTTGAACAGGTGAACAACGTTTTGATCAGTGTCTCAGTTTTTCATGGCGCCATTGCATGCATGTAACACACTTTTAGCACGTCTTCATAGATTATCTAAGGCTCTCAATAAAATTAAGGAGCATAAATGTATGGAACCATAATTTATTTTTGTATTCTCAAGGACACACACCCACGTTACCTCACGCTTATAGTCACGTGCACAGTGGAAGAAATTTTTTTTAGGAATTATTTATATATCATATTGTTGTTGAACAACTATAAAAATATTTAATTTGGAAGTACAATAAAAATCTCAAAATTATATTCTTAGATCACTTTCTTAACAATGTATTCTCGTCTTAACTACATAAATATGTGAATACAACTTCCAAATAACATAGGGCAACCTTTAAAATAAAGTTGCTATATTTATAATGAAACAATCTTATTAACATTATAAATATGATGTACTTATTTGTAGGCGTTGGTAGCTGATTTTTTTCTCTTCCTGTAAAATGCAGACAAGCTTTGACAATTTATTTTTTCCCATAATATAATTGAGTATCAGAATTACTTATAATATATACATAGTATATTTACTAATTCCTTGTAATTTTATTGCAACACATCAAAATAGTTGTAGATAAAAAGAAGTCATGTCATGGTTGTTAACAGGTGGCAAAGCTATTAATCTACAATTTTAACAATACAAATAAATTTAAAATTTGATGAATATAACACAAAAAGGAAATAGAACCTGAAACTAAAGGAATACATGTCTCTAAGAGTTTCTACTATTGTATCCCCTGATACGAAACCTATGTTGATGACATCCAAATTAAATCAAACTCGCCAATAAAATCAAATACGAATAAACTGTTTTTGTGATCACTAGTTCCAGTCACTTACCGAATTAAGCTATCCTACAGCTTAAACAGTAACAAAATGAAAACATTTTCGTTTGTTACATTATTTAAATTAGTCAACCAAGACATGATTATATGGAAAAAAACTTATGTCCTGTTATATATATTTCCAATTTACAGAAATACCTTCTCAATACATTTGAGATGTTCTAGAATAATTTTTACATTTTAAATATTCTAAAAGCATGACGTTTTCTTTTGCTGTGAAGCAAACTAATTATATACCTCCGGTACTAAAGTGGTTTTTTTCTTCTCTATAAAATACCTTATTGGAATGTCATAACTAAGTTTGTCTGTTCTGTCAGGTTATAGAAAGTACTCAAGGAGCAATATGGGATGTTCCATTTCCGGCTGTGACGATCTGCGACCTCAATATGATTTCACGAAGAGCTGCGAGGGATTTGTCAAACGTCTTGTTAGTATTTAAAATTATTTTCTTTCACAAATATAGTTTATATTATTATTTATATATAACTTAAATTCCTGTTCTTTAAATTTTATTCTTTGGTTTTGTTTCTGCTAATATAATGATATTTGAGTTAACGTAATTGTTTGAATGTTGTCAATATACTCAATATTAAAGACGTGTTAATACACAAAATTCAAATTATATGATAGAGTATTTTTTATATTAATAAATGTAAAACTATACAAAATAATAATTTATAATGACTGGCTCTTTGTCTCTTCCTTATTTTATAAACTAATTAAATGGCGAACGCCTCTCTAGATCTGAATTGCAGCAAAAAATGTCTACACAGCAGGATAGGAGGAAACTTGTATAACAATTTCCAACTTATATACAAATATTTCCAAGTCTAGTTAAAACTTTTTAATACCTTTAGACATAAAATGTTCAATATGTTTACTTTATGTCGCGAATGTCCTTTACCACTGCCCATATTAAGTAAGAATGTTAAAAATTCTACATTTAAGTTTGTGAGTTATTGGTTATAAAATCTTTATTTAATAAACACTTATCAATATTCAATGTTAAGGTTTAAACAGAAAATTTAAGATAGGATAGGCTATTAATTTCTACTGGTATATTTTCTAAGTGTTGTGCGTAATAGTATTTGACATTGAATTCTTATCTTCAAAATTCCCAAACTAACCGTGCATTAGGTCTTCTAATTTGATTTTGATGATTTTGGTCGGTAAATTGCAATTCCTTTTATATCAAAAAAATTCAAAAGGTTAATGACTTGAAAAATCAAGTAAACCCAAAGAGTAGGAATAAACAATTATTGTTTAATGTGTGATATTAATGTCCAATAATAAACAATTTATTATTTTATTCCTTTATCTATATCTCTGATAAGAACTTGAAAAAGAATGATATGGAATACTTATTAATGTCATAAAAAAATATATTTAAGAATAAGCTTATATAATGTTGTTTAATATTTCTCATTTAAGGACCCTACCTGAAAATGTAACAGCTGATTTTGTTTTCAAAACATTGAAAGTAGCACCGCTTTTACATTCCTCAAACATGGCCGACCCAATACATAAAAGGGATCTCCATATTCTGCAAGACGTTCTAGATCTTAATAACATCACGGTCGAAACGCTTTTTAAAAAAGTGAGTTTCTTATTTCAACATCTTTTTAGGTAGCGTTTTTCATGAAACCTCGAAATTATGTATAGGGTTATATAAAATTAAGGCATTTATACGGCTCACCAAGGGATAAAACTTTGTGGCCGTCTGACGTAATTTTTTATTGTAAAATCTTCTTGGGAAATATTTCATTGTTCTTTAATGTAACTCTTTTTATAACTATTATGTATATACCCATAAATGATTACCCATAAAAGTAATACAAGTCTTATGGTAATACAATATACACTTAATCTTAAAATCTATTATAGATCTTATGAGGGACAAGTGCCTTAAAGTGTAATTTTTTAAAAACCTTATGTAATTCTTATTAGATTTGTCTTATATTTATTTTTTATTTCCAGTTGTCTCCAGCTTCATCCTGCAGAGACCTCTTAGAGCGGTGCATGTGGAAGAATACAATATATCACTGTGATCAGATTTTTCAGCATGTATTCAATACAATATTACTTTGTTGTACCTTCAATTATTATGCTTTGGACCAGCCGAGTGACGAGTAAGAAACATTAAAAAGAAACGGTCTTAAATTACTACGTCATTGTAATTTCGAAGTTATATTTTATTTAACAGCTAGACCTTTAATTAAAATCGATGTATTTTTAAAGTATGATGCCCTTTGTTCTATAGTATAGGTCACAGTTGAACTTAAAATTGTTGTTGTAATAAAAAAATCAATTTCCGCATACTTTCTGTTATTGAAGTCATACTAGTGATTCTTGGAATCATTCATATCTATTTACGTTCAATATTTCTTTTATTTCAACTTGTTAGGAAAATTATTTATAAAAAATATTAATTTCATTGATATTTGCACTAAACTTAATGCAGAAATTAATAAAAAAAGTTCAGAAACATAGGTAAATGTATCGTGAACTCTTTATACACCCTTTATTGACATAAATTACTATGTAGTTGTAGTTGTTTTGCAATAGTATTTTTTTTTTTATTTCCGATTGGGTACTTAGTTGGTTTATCAATTTTGATTTATATCGTTGTTTAGAATTTTGTGTTTCTTTATTATATCTAAATGTCATTCAAAATTACTTTCAAATATATTCACTTAAGCGTATACATATGTACATAGCGGTTAAAAAAACAAAAATCCGTTCATGACTTTGTTCTTGTCAGTAACAAAGGAATCGTGTTTAATCGGCAAGGAAGATAATATGTAATCTGAGGGATTAATATAATTAAATAATGTTTTATAGCAGTCTCTATAGATGGATAATTGACATAAAGAATTTTATCGATTGATTTGTTGGTGTCTTAAAGGATTGTTCAAAAAATTATGGAATGTTTTTATGCATATGATGCACATAAACGTGATGGAAAAGTTGTGTTCGTTTTGTTATATTATTGAAGAAATACTTCCCTTTTCAATTAAGATTGTTTTTCGCTTGTCAATTTGTATGTAAAGAATAAAACAAAGAACATAATATACATATGTAAAATAAATTTGCCTATTTTGTACAAAGTAACCGTTGGACTTTATCACTTATGATATATAACATCACTATGTTTACCGTTTACTGTTTAATAACTTACGTTAATTCCATAATGAGTATTGATGAAAGAATTAAATATTCAAAACTATGTACTATGTCGATACAAGCTTGTGGTAATATTAGGAATAGTCGGTTGTTGTCGAATTGATCTAATTAATATTAAATAAACGGGCTGTCAATACAAGTAAAGCATTCTATATTAAATTATGTTTCGGTCTTAGGTTCGATTTTTGTATATCTAAGTTAGCGATTTATTTTCAATTAATCTTTTAATAACGTGAAATATTTGTAATATCCTTTTAAATTGTACTGCGTTTTCAACTTAAGCAAACATTTGCTTAACTCTACGTTACCATATGTGACATTTCACGATACTATATTAATTTTATTTCATTTCAATACAATTTTAGACAGATGATATTTCGTCATTCGACTCCAAGGCGCGTGGCTTCCTGTGGCTATCAGACAGCACTGACGGCTATTTTGAAAACTGACCCAAGTGACTACTACAGCACGAGCGTAGCATCTTTAGGTACACTGGTGAGTATTAATGTATACTTTTATCTTTTAAATGTTGCAGGTGGCGATATTAATTACTTCCTATATTCAACTTAACGTTAAAATATGTATGTGCATTTGTTCAACGGTACAATTCTATACTAAAAGAAAAGGCAAATATACATATGTCTAAGTTAGATTTTTTTTTCTATAACAGTCGTAATTATTTAAATGAAACTAATATTTTCAGATTTACTACGCGTTTTTTATTTTTGACTATAAACTACAGACGACATGTGAGTCACAGACACTCGTAGTAGTAAATCCGAAAATATTAGTTTCACTTAAATGAGTACTCGCGAAAGTCTTAGATTTCATAAGTCGTAATTATATTGTCAAAAATCTAATTGTTATATTTTTACTACACTGTAATAAATAAATTTACATGATATGGGAATTAAATTTAATTTAGAAATTCGAATACAATAAATCAAAAACATAGACAGTTTTTTATCACATGTTTTCATATGTATATTGAGATAACCGTCTGTCGCGTCTCACACGCATGTGATTGTAATACTATAAACGGACTTAAACCTATTAATATACTAAGATACTATTTAACATATATGTACTTAAGAGAATTAACAATAAAAAAGTCAAATAAGGATGCCTTGTACTCAAATGCCTTAAAGATTACTATCTTTAAGGCATTTAATTGGCAGCATTTTTTAATAATTTATCTCCACACTTTCTATATAAGTATATGCGGAAATAAGAATTTGCGTGAGCAAACTGAGTAAAACTGTTATTAAAAGATAAAGTAGAAAATATTACCAATAAATAAAGATATAAAATCATTTATAGAAGGCATGAAATTCATAGTTGCTTTTATAAACCATCTGGATTATTTGGATTAGGTTCTTATCTATATATTAAAGATATTTACCAATTTAATCTCGCCTTACATAAACGAGACTATATTGATCTACATATAGATATGGATTTGGAAAAAAACACGTTTTTTAATTAGAAACAACTATCGTCGTTTTATATACACTGGTTAAGACAAATGGTATCTTAAAACGAATGTATGTATATGGGAATAAATAACTTAACCACTGGCAGCATTGTGATTCAGAAGTACAGAATGGAAGTTATTTGTATTTTTATCCATAGGTTTTTATAGATAATCCATACAATGTTCCTGACTTCGATTCACCAGTTCGTATGGTAAATCCTTCAACTGAGATGATGATTGCTGTGTCACCCGAACAGACGTACGCTACGGAGGGAACTAAATCTTTTACACCTGATGAGAGACAATGTTACTACAGCGACGAGGTAGGTGTTAATTTCTAGAATAGATATGACATTATAAAAACATTATCATTATTAATCAGAGCTTTTTGATATCATTACTTCTGAGCTGAAAAATTAAGTACTACCGTCTATTACTGAATGCCTACGGGCGTCTACAAAATTTATGAAAGAAAAAACCACAATGCTATTAGTAATATTTGATAATCATTTAGATATATCGAATTTCCTTTTATCATTGGCAATCAAAATAATGGCTTCCTTTTAAAAAAATCATATAAGACAAGTAAAAAGAATGATTAAGAAGTTTGCCTTTCAGTAGTTTCAATCATGCCCATAATTATCTATAAAATTTCTATTTATTTAGTTTTTTATTCCTTTATTTAAACATAACCATGAGATGTTTTAAAGGAAAAAATAACTACACCTTTTTGTGGAACCCACTGTTTTGGTTCTTATAATATTTATTATAAATGCAAAGTAGATGAATAATTAAAGTAAGGAAAGATTTAATGCGTATTTATAGCGCTCTAGCTGCCATCTAGCTTCTGATGAAGCAGGTACATATTATGTACGTCAATTTTTTTTTTAATTACAAGTCTGATTGAGTCATAAAAGGATGCCTTTAATTGAACTACTTATTCATATAAAGTTACATAACTTTTTCTTGGCATCGGACCAGAACAGTATCACTTCATTATTTGGTAATACTTATAAACGTAGAATACTAAAAAAGATTAAAAAAGTATTTGTCAGATGTTTTTTTAACAGAAATACTCGTAATATTTTCATAAAATAATAATTTTAAATAACATAAAATATATATTAGAATGAAGATCATATTCCATAATAGTTCAGTGTGAAAGTGAAAACAAAAGATATCTTTTTCCATTTGAATCAAAAGTTATGACCTTTCCGCACCAAAATTTTTTGGTCTGCCATAGCTTCAAAGAATTTATAATGAGATACATTGAATAGTAATACGTTAAGCCACTTCTGAGATTTGTCTCTCTGAACATATACTTGGCATAAACTGCTCAGGTTACCAAGAATTTAGTTTAGTCATAAGAGAGGTATAGCAATTTTCGTTAATCCACCCAAAATAAGCGCGTAACATGCTGGAACATGTGCGTAGTTCTATTTGCAGGAGTATTGTACTATAGCAAATAAAACCATACATACATATGTATATATGAGACATAAGGCCTTGAATGAAATGGCAAGCATTTACAATTCAAAGAAGGCAAGAGTGAATAGATTAGGGGATTTGTTACTAGGGTTACTGGCATAGCGAGTATAACACCTCCAGGATCACTCCTAGGTGGTTTCAGCCAGTGTAAAGGTCAAGCACTACTCATTTTCGGTAAGTTCGAACCTTGGGTACTTGTGAATCGATGCAGAATTCTAGAAAAGTTCACACTTTATTTTAAAATTTGTACTGCAGATAGATTTGACAACTTGAACTAATAATAATTTGTCTTGATACACTGTGGTTGCAATTTTCACTCCTTTTTTACAAAAATGTATTTTTGTAAGTCCTTGATAAGACACGCTCCACAAAACCATCACTGACGCAGGGTGATGATAACATTGTACCTGTCCGATTTGAGCAGTTTTTCTAAAAGTGTGAGGTATTATTTTATTATTTTGTTTATTGCAGTGTTCTTCAATCATGAATTTTATTCAAAGAGAATATTTCTGTGGCTTTTATGTGCGACTCGTGACAGAAGATCCACTCTATGTAATTTTAAAGATTGATTAGGTGCTTCTATATTATCAATAACAACTAGTTTCAGTTCTTATTTTATGAAACTCGACAGAGTTCTGGTCAGAATCTTCATTCTGGCGATAAAGTTTTTGTGCTTCCTTGGGAGATTTAGTCGAATTCTGGTTTTAAAAGCAATAAAGGTTTTGCAGATCTAACAACATCCGACCGCCCCGATCTTTTCTGATCATCGGCAAACAAATTGTTGTTGTATGTGTTAATATTGCGATACGCTAACATAATATGGCGGATACAAAGCTTTAGAAGTGTCTGAAATATGAACAACGGGTCCATATTCAATTTGAGCAAGGCGATCCCTGCAAGCTTGTTTTTCAAAAACCCGTCGCATATGTAATTTGATGATAAATTCCAAAAAATATTTATATACCTACAGAATTATTATAAATTATTTATATACAGAATCTTTTGAAACGATATATTTTTATGTTAGTCAGAATAGTTATAGTACGTGAAGGCTCTTTGCGCCAAGATGTGTTATTTCGTAATGTGAAAATGGGAAGGATTAGAAATAGAATTTTAGTGAAGTCATATTGTTTCATTACGACAAAATATATAACCATTGCTTACAATTCACAATTGACACACCCATTCACTTTCTCTCCGGCTCTTTCTTTTCACCCTCCCAGGAATGTTGATCGTTTAAAGAAACCTTGTTGAAAGTCGAGTTAAAAGTTTCAGCTCAATAGAAAAGTTGAAAGAAAGAAAAGTTTTATGTAACAGTATTTATGGCGAGATTAGTTACATACTGTAGTTACACATACACATATAAAGAAAGAGAGAGTAAAAGGGAAAAGTGGTTGCTTAGTATATTTATAATTATCATGATCGTAGCTAGTAGGCTATGTATATGTATATATATATATATATATATATATATATATATATATATATATATATATATATATATATATATATATATCTTTTTCTTCTACCTGGCAATGTCCGGCTTTTTCCAGGGTCTGCTCTTACATGTTGTGAATAGTTTTGGGTAATCGTTTTTACGACCGGCCGCCTGCCTGACATCAACCCTCTTTGGGAATGCATTCATCAGTGATGCCAACACTGACTATATATATATATATATATATATATATATATATATATATATATATATAGTCAGTTCATAGTTCATAATAATCTTCTTACTCTTACAAATATTCTAACAATGTAAAATTAAGGATTCAGTAGAAATCATTAAATTCGCTACAGAAAATACTATCTAACTCTGAAATTAGACTTGTTTACAGAAATTGTAGCAAAAAATCCTGATACAATAAAAAAGAAACAGATAGATCAAGTATTATGTTGCACGCAGTTACACAAACTAGGTCATTTAGTAAAAGACAGCACAAAATTTAAATTCAAATATTAAAATTACTCGTTGCATAGATTTAATGTAGTGTCATGGAAATTAAGTATAACAAAGTCAAAAATCACTAGCAGCTAAGAAACCTTAAATTACAGGTTGTATCAAATACTTACATTAATTACCCTTCTGATTCATATTCATGTTCTCAAATTTTATGGCTCCACACATTCTGATTTTTCACTTTTATTTTCTGTATCCTATTGCATTCGCTTGTATGAAATAATTGTCTGTTGTTCTCGTAGCGCTATTATTTAGTGTGAAGAAATTTGAAAACAATTACTCTATCTCATATCACATAAGATTAAAGGTAAAACATACATACATACCTTCAAATATGGATGGCGCTAAGCCGATAATAGTTTTGATTGTTGCGCTATCTGGTCCTTTCTAGTGATTTAAAGTTTACTTGTTCTTTCTTTATTCGATAAGAAAAAACGTGATTTTATATTAAAACACGTCAAACGTATGATTAATCGTTCGATTCATGACGCATGATCGTTCAAACTTTTTGAGTATAATATAAATATTTACTGTTTTCTTATTATAATTTCTATGACTACAGCGGAGTTTTCAAAACAATGTGCTAAATGTAGTGATCTGTATCAGCTAGAATTAGTACAGAAACTAGAACTAATAGGGAAGGAAATCCAAAAACAAGTTACACAAATTTATAAGAAATATTTCTATAAAATGATGAATAAAATGATATATTCGAAAGTAATTTAAATATGATCCATGTGTGTCGTAAATTATAAATTAAATAATAATTTAATATTTAATACAAAATTTATTAACGTAAATGATTAAAGTGATTTAAGATTGTAGATATCATTAAATGACGTCAAAGGGGTTTAAAAGCTGATTTACACGTTGTGTATTTATGCATATGATTTTATGATCCACGGAGAAGATTTATCGGAACCTTACCAATGTTACAGTACCTCAGACATTACACGTAAAGTGTCCAAGACAACTATTTCTTGGATATCTCGATCATTAGTAGTAAAGGCCATGGCTGGGAGTTTTTGATAAAAAAAAACAAGCGAAGTATATCGAAGTATTGGTCTCATATCTCATTAAACCATTGTATCGTCGGGTATTTCCCCGAATTAAGTAAGGTATTAAGTTGTTCGAGAGTCACGTGTGAATTAAAAAGATTACAAAAAATATATAAGCATGTCAGTTTAGAATTCAAATTATGTTGATATATAATTAATAATACACAATGTTATCCAATCTTGAGGCTTAAGAATTCTTACAATGCCATATGATTATATAATTATTCATGAAAAACTGATAATGTAGAGACCTGTTGATGTAGTGGTTAAGAAAGTCCTAAACGACTTTTGGTTTCAAAACGATTTCTGACAGTTCACTTTGATTTAAGACGCATGTAAGGACAGCGTTTTGATTATATGTATGTATATGTATATTTTTATCATATATAGATATCCGATAATATGTTAGACAGTTAGTCTAGTCAAATTATGGAGAGTTATATATATTTAATTAAGTACAGAATTTTGAAATCTTCATTTATTTTCTTATAAATCTGAATTTCGTAAGAAGAATATATCCGGGCTATGATTTATCTGCTTGCCGATAAATCTTTAAGCCCTCACGACTTGTAATGTGTGACTGAGTTCTCATTATAGTAATGAAGAATACCCATAAGCTAAAACAATTTTTTCCCATAAAAATAATTTTAACAAATAAAAAAATAGTGTTAAATAGTTTTAAATTCTACATAATAACTTAAAATTTATAAAAATAGTATCTTAAATATATTTATCTCTATTATTATTACATGTTCATTTTACTCAGAAACTGTTCCAAATCTTTTATATTAATTTCTATACGTTTGAAAAA